TTCGGCCGGCAGCCAACGGCAGTCTGCCGTATCCGTAGTCCCGTCCGAATTCTGAAAGCGGTTGCGGCTGCGGTTGCGGCTGCGGCTGCGGGCCAGCCGTCCGCGCCAGCCGTCCGCGCCAGCCGTCCCCGGTCCCCCGTCCCCTTGCTTCGGGTCACCGCTCATCATCGCCCGTCGCCCACCGCCTACCGCCCAACTCCCACCGCCGTGACGAGTCACGCTTCATGCCCTTTTTTGAGGTGCTGCACGAGAACACCTAGCTGTTCACAATCCAGCTTAATATCACCGTTCAAAGGATACCGACGCCAGTTTTGAGCTCCAGCGTTCCGGCGACGACCCACAAACACAATGCTTTTATTTTATCCTGTTATTTCATCAGCGAGAGAGAGAGAACAGCCTCACAACACCCGGGCTCCTTCGCAAAAACGAACTAAGGACGTTGAATCGCTATAGAGTCGCATGTGAAATGGGACCGCGTACTTGAACAGGCCGCAGGGAGGGGGTTGTGATACTCATGTATACCTATGCTCACCGCTGAGAATGACAAGATCGTCGCGCATCCACGGGAACAGGCATGCAGTCCGCCGGCGCGCGTTAGTGCATCCTAGCTAGACACGTATCGTCCGAGTACCTGTACACTAGTACGTGATGCCCTGTCGCGGTCGCGTCAGTATACATAGCACCTCGTGGATAAAATAGCGGTTCTAGCAGCAGGCAAGTACTTTAGTATGTCCGGGGACCGGGAGACGGGGTGAGTGCCTATTGGCTACTGCGCAACACGCCGGTAGACTTCTTTTTTTGGTGCCCGCCGTCCGCTTCCACATCCCCTGGGACTTTCATCACTCGACTTGTGCCCTCTGCATTTCGAGGACTCGACTAGCAATACCCTGCTCGTACCCCCTTCAGCTGGTCCGCTACGGCTACCTCTTCCGCTACCGCCAGCCACTGCATGGTAGAAACGGTCCAGGGGGCCTGGGTATCTGGGCATCCAAGGTTGCGGTGTTGGCGGTCTTTCGGCAGCCTCAGGACACGTAATAACGTCAGTATTTTGGCTTGAGCAGACGAGCGAGTACCGAGAACCTAGCGATGGAAGCATTGGTGGAAGGCCTCGAGAAGCAGCGGAAGTGTGCCAGGCTGACCAGCCCCCCTCGCAACGCTGACCTGGCAAACGGTAACAAATCTGGGTCTCCTCCCTTCTGAGGCCAGGGCGAAATTGCCAGCCGAATCGGCGGTCCGGGATTTGGCGAGGCTAGGCTGGGAGGGGCAGCGAGCGACCTCCAGTTGCTCCAGGCCGTTGGTGATTGTAATTTCTTTCCACCCTCCGTCGCATTCCATTCGCCTTTACTGTCAGGCTTTTACATGGACTAACGGTTCCTCGAGGTATATTTTTGCAAGTTGTGTGGCCCCAGTGTCTCGTCGGTTCGATATGAAAGGTCAGCAAGAAGAAACAAATAGTGAAAAGTATACGGAGGTACCCGCAGAAGGGAGACTGTTCTCATCATGCATCCGCAGCCGAATTTGGGTGCGCCGTGATCGACTTTCCCTACAGATTTAATCGCAACCAGACCAGAATACTCGTTCTGCGTCTATCATGTATCATTCCGCATTAGCACAGGGTCATGAACATGAACTCCTGTCGCATGCCGTGGTGAGGTGAACAACCAAGCATGGGACGATACGAACTAGGTTGAATACAAGCACGATTCCACAGACTGCATAGAGTCGATTTTCGCGCTCACCGCAAACCTCTTGCCCTTCCCGGCCAACTCCCGGCCAACTCCTCCCCTTACCTTATCACTTTGCTGCCCTCCCTCTCGCGCTGCTGTTTTGCTGCGCCGCTGGGGCTTGTGTGTGCTGGGTTTGTCGCAAGGTGTTCGAACGGCCTCGCAGACTCGCCCTCCACGGTCAGCCAGCCCTCGGCCTGTTGACCTGGCCATGCCCGCCCTCCCCTCTTGTCTGCACCCTAGCAATTATCCATGAGTTGTCCCATAACCTGGCCGTCCGCCATTTAGCTCCATGCCATTGCTACCCTTGCCATGCTGTGGGTGTTCAGGGCGTGTGGATGTGCCTATGTGGCTAGGTGTGTTCCAGACGGGTCGGGTGCATGCCACGCCATGCAAATTATCCCGTGGCACGAATTTGGAGCGGTACTTGGAAAGTCGTGTGGCTCGCGGCGGGTCGGTACCGTACTATGTAGTGTATTGCTGGCTTGCTCGAGGGGAGGGGGGATGTGGTTGTGGTGTTTGTGGTGACGGTGGTGATAGTTCGCCATGACAGCACCTAAAGGCCAGAAACCCCATGTAAAATTTTGGGACCCCTGACGGAAAACGTGGGCGAAAGAGAAAGACAGAGAGCGCTGCGTCGTATTCCGACAGGCCCTATTTTCCCGTCGCACACCTGTTTTCGCAGCAACCTCTGTTGGCCGTCCCTGCCCCTTTATTCCGTCCAATGTCTTTTTCTTCTTCTTCTTCATCTTCATCTGCTTCCCCTATTTGCCCCCCCCTTTAGATTGTCTTAGATTGAGATAGCAACGCGACTCTTTTTAGATTCCTCGTTTCTCGTGTGTCAGACGAGATGAAGGCACTTTACAATGGAACATCCCTCCGGTTCCGAGCAATTTTTTTAAGATTGCGTCAAATCCGTGGATAGGGCGATGCCGGATGGGTCGCATACTACTGTACGCAGTAGATGCTCGTGAGTCTGGTACCGTGGCCGTGGCTTCTAGATTAGTGACGGAGAGACAGATGGATTCTATCGGGAGCCAGAAGTTCTGATCGAATGCGCAACGCAATTGCTGAGCGCGTTACGTAGTTACCCTAGGTAGCTACCTTGAGGCAAGGTAGGTATGCTGTGTCGATTGTGTCGTGCGCATTGCCAGCTGAGGTTCCCAGGCAAGATGTGCGGTAAAGTAGAGAGCGTGTACTCCCCCGCATTGCACGATACAGACGATACCTAAGGACCTGAGGCAAGGTACATGGGGTAAGATTATCAGTGCAGCTTACATCGCTCCGGCCATCTCGACGTATTTTTCATGGGCGCTTTTTTTTTTTTTTTTTTTTTTTTTTGGGTACCTTGTTTCTGGATCGGTAGCTCAAACGGGGATGGCGAGACGATGAGATACGTACCTCCTTCCCTGTTTGGCAAGCTATTTTTTGTGGATACCTAGGTAGTGTGCGCAGGCATCGGTGCCAGCAGCAGCAGCTGCGGTGACAGCATGGTGGACGGAGCAACAGCAGCGGCCAACGCAATAGACCAGACGGGAAAATAGCATAGACAGCTTCACCAACCATGATATCTCGCGTTCAAGAACAGCGACCACTTTTTGGCAGAACACAGCAGAGCATGGAGCGACCAGCAGAAGGCGACGGGGGTTGGAAGGAAAGGGAGAGAGAGAAAAAAAAGAAAAGAAAAAAAGAAAGAAAAAAAAAAGGCGAAATTCAACGTCTACCGCGCCGCTGTGTCGTTGCCATGGGTCATTGGCTCCTCTCTACTCCGCCTGTCATTGTCATTGCCCTCCTCAGGCCCTGCCTGTCTGGGCTGCTTGTGTACTTACCTACTGCCTAAGGTAGGTAGTAGGGGCTAACTGTCCGCCGGGCATCCGCTGGCCCGCCATCTGAGGTGTTGTCTGCGGTCCCGTCTGCTGGGCCAGCTGTTGGACGGACGCTGGACGCTGAACACACACTGGACCTCTCTGCTGCTGGTCCATGGTGTCGTATCCGGCGGTCGTCGTCTCCCCCTCCACTCCCGCTTCAGGGCTCCCCCTCCTCTCTCTCTGCCCCCCCTCCACGTCCTCCACCCCCTCCATCCCTCGCCTCTCGAGGCCCAGTCGCCTCCTGACCCCTCCCTTGCCCATTCTGCTGGGGGATGGAATCGGGACGGGTCTGCCTTCTGCTCTGGTGGTCCGGTGAACGAACTCTATGCTCCAGTCTCCTCCTCTGCTGATGTACTTGTGCAGTGTCCGTTGTGCAGTCCCGTCTCGCCCGTCTTGCATTCATCTCAGCGAGTAGTTTGGGGATCCACCAAACTACGAAAGACCTGACCCCACGAGGTACTTCTGCTCTACCTTCCCGACTTGACATGCCTGCTCCATCCAGTCGTGGTGTCTGTCTCCTGCTTTCCTGCCCCATCAAACTCGTCCTGTCCGAAGTACATCGCTCGCCCTGCTCTAGCAACACCGACTGTCCTACTACTCGTCTCCGCTGGTAGGTACCTGTCCCGGCCTACCCACTCGGCAGGTACGTACCTACCTCCTCCCATACCACCCTCTGCTTACCGTCGTTGGGTACCTACCTACCTGCTGCCCGCCTCCTCGCGCTTCTTTACAGTGGAAAAGATACCTGTTTCCAGGTACCCCCCAGCTTCGGCCAGCGTGGTCGTCCTCCTGCTCGCCCCCTCTCTCTTCCCCCTCCCTCCTGCCCCCCCTCCTCCAATACACCCGGCGTCCCTCCCACTGTCGCAGTCCAGTGTCCCCACCGTTCTCACCAAGACGCCCTCTTCCTCCTCCTCCTCCCCTCCTACTTTTTCCCTGGACTTCCCCTCTTCCGTCTCCTTCTTCCTTCTACTCTCGTGATCATCGTGCATCTCCAACACGCAACCCAACGCGCCTCTCGACCTCTCCGGCTCCCAACAATCAACACTCAAGCGCGCCTGTCGCTTTTAGACAAGCCGCTTTATACACTGGCCTTGAGCCAGCTTTTTTCCAACAAAATCACACACGTCCTTCCTATGACCAGAATATCGAACCAAATGACCATCAACATCCACCAGTCTAATCAAGACACACTTTAAATCCCACGGGAGCGCGCCGAGCGAGGAGGAACCTACGAGCCGGGCGATTTCAACCATCGTTACAATTCATCGAGAGCCGTTGTCCTGATCAAGCCATTCGCCTTTGTCGTCGTCGCCGTTACCTGCTGTGGCAGTAGCTTTCCCAGCCACCGGGATCACCCACCACCCGCATCCAAAAAAAAAAATCGCGACATCGACCCCGAGCCGTCAAAATGCCCGGCGCAAGCGTTGCGGTCCTTCCCACGTCCGCTTCATCAACACCGGCCTCCCGCAAGGCCTCACTCGCCCCGGAACGCAAGTACAAGTGCCAGTTCTGCAACAGAGCCTTCAGCAGAAGTGAGCACCGCAGCAGGCATGAGCGCTCTCGTAAGTTGTGTCCCGAACCCCTCTCCTTCCCCTCCCCTCTACCCGTGAAGCTTCCACCCGACCGGGAACCCCTCGCGACGATTAGCAACCCCTCCTTTCCGCCTCATCGTCGATTCAAACTGCAATGCATCGTCGCACGCAAAACACCTCCCTCACATCGACGCGCGCTGGACCATCACGCATCAGCATGCTAATGATATCGCGGTAATAGATACCAAGGAGCGCCCTTTCAAGTGCATGAAATGCCGGAGCACGTTTGTCCGACGCGATCTTCTACTTCGGCACGATCGAACTGTACATGCCAAAGATGGCGGCATCCCTTTGCACAGCGACGGCAAGCGACGTTCTGGTCCCAAGACGAGAGCCATCGGCGGACCTGCCAAGACGCCTATGCTCGACCAGTCTGCGATAGATCAGCTCGAGGCCGCCTCCCACGATGGCACTATTGACGTTGAGACTGCCGCCATGCTTGTCGCCGATTTCCAGCACAAGGCTGCCGCAGGAGCCCGTTCCGCAGGTAGCCACTACGAAGGAAGTCCCTCGGTGCCCTACTCGCCGCACGCCATGGAGTCTACTGTCACGTATCCCAATGGCGCCTTCCCGGTGCCCCAGTGGGAGAGCTTCATGTCTCAGTCATCAGAACCCAAGGCACACTCCATCGCCTCCTCGGCCTCTGGCTCGTTCGAGTCGCAGCAGTCGTTCAACAGCGGAAGCACCGTGCAGCCTCATCACAAAGTTCAGCTTCCCCCTATCAACGGCCAGACTTGCAACGGCCTTGTTCCTGCTCTTCAGTCCATGATCAACAGCCTTCCTAATTCTGCTGCCGGAACTCCCACACCACTGAGCCCTTACGTCAACGAGGCTAGTTTATCGTCTGCCGGCTTCCGTGCGCCTCAGGTCGCTAGCGACGATGAGCGTAACCAGATCTTGGACAACATTCGGGCCAATGATGCCGAGCATGCTATTCCTGAGGGCTTCCGCGTGCCCAACTTGACGTCTCTCAACCGTTTTTTGTCAACGTACTTTGGCTTGTTTCACCACCACCTGCCATTCCTGCACCCTGCTTCTTTTGATTCAACTAGGGTCTCTCCAGCTCTGCTTCTAGCCGTGCTGAGTATTGGTGCGCTCTACGCTTTCGATCAAGACCAGGCTTACATGCTCCACATTGGCTCCAAGGTCCTCGTCAACCAGTTCCTCCTTAACAAGGAGAACTTCAGCTCACGCAAGTGCCCTCTGTGGACAATGCAGGGCTCTTTGCTCAACATGATCTTTGCCAGCTGGAGTGGTGATCCCAAGGGTCTCGAGTGGGCTTGCTCTATCAAGAGCTTGCTCGCGAATATGGTTGCTGGAAACCGGTACGAACTCAAGCTACGCCAGGAAGCTCGCGGAGGTGCACAGCCGGCTCGCGCCGAGTGGGTGGAAGATGAGGGCTGTCGCCGCACTTACTACGCCGTGTACATCTTCTTCGGGCTGCTAACGCTGACTTACAATCACACCCCTGCCATCAGCTTCAATGAATTTGAAGACCTTCAACTTCCGTCTTCGGAAGCACTCTGGAACCTCAAGGTTACGGATGAGGCCGCTTGGCAGGAGCAGTTGAAGTCGTCGCCCATGGCAACCTTCATGGAAGCGCATGACAATCTGTTCCAGGGAGAAACACTCAGGTACAGCGCGTTTGCGTCGAGGGTCATGATAAATGCCCTGTTCCTTGAAGTGTGGTACCATAAGCGCAGTCCTGAGGCTCTTCAGGATGTTGTGACTGAGTACAAGCTCAGACTCGCTCTCGAGACATGGGAGAAATCCCTCGAGCTCTGTGAGCCCGAGAATGTTGCGGTTCCATTGAGCGCCCCTCACAAGGGACACCCTCTCATCTTCAATGCCAAGGCTCTTTACAGGAACGCCCGGGCTCGGTTGGAGGTCGACTTGAAGTCCGTGCAGGAGGCATTGCGATACCACGACTCGTACGAAGTCGCGGCTGCCATGACAAACGCACGCGACCGCGTCAAGCGCTCTAGCGAGATGATCAAGGTAATCCAAGAATGCTACAATTGCATTGAGATTGCTGTTGTGCAAGGTGTGCGCTGGGTTGCGCGTACTTCGCCAACGAACTGGAGCGTAGAGCACGCCTTGTGTGGTCTTGACCTGATGATTGTCCTCTCCCTCTGGCTATACCGTCTGGAACATGACGAGGAGCCGGCCACCGAGGAAGAATTAGTCATGTACAACAAGGTCCGCCAGCTCTTCGAAAAGGACATCGACGAAGCGTACGCTTCCCAGATTAGCTCGGTTGTTGCTCGGCTTTGGGGAAGCATGCTTGACGAGGTCGTCGTTTGGGGGTAAGTTAGACTGGCAGGCACCAAGTGGAGAACGAGAGCTAACGGTTGAATAGAATCACCAGATTGATGGGCGAGTCTTTTCGCCTCCACGCGCAAGCGCTCGTGGGCTATGTCGACGACATGGAAGCATCCTCCAGCGTTTCTACGCCTTCGATGACATCGCAGGGGGCGGACGAGGACAGCGTGTACTAGTTGCGATGATTGAACGATTTCCTTTGTTTCACACTATTTTCCTTGGCATATACCTCTCCGTCCGTTGGGTTGGTCTTTGGTAATTCCTGGCGCAAACGGCAATCGGAGTTGTTCATACCCTCTCAGTTTGAGGTGTGTTTCCCAAATGGTACGGGAGACGCGGCGCAGATGAGCAGAGGATTGATTTCGGAATGGTCCTTGCGTTTAATCAGTTGCTCGAACGCGGCTGGCTTCCAGGATTCTGCTTTTCTATTTCTCCTTTTCTATTTCTCGATTGGAATGATGTTGATTTAAGCGTCCCAGCATTGGACTCGGTCATCGGCGATAATGAGCACAGGAAACACGGGGATGGGTAGGGGCATATGGGTTCGGCATGGTTTCCTGGGTAAGAGCCCGGGAAATATGGGTAATTCGGGCCCTGCTCACGCATCCCAAAGGCTGCCTCAAGGCACGTTGGCTGGTCCAGGATGACGGGTTATTGACAGGTTTTTGCGTTGTTCCACTAGCTCTTACTAATGTTTTTTGCGCTGTTGATATCCTTTTGGTTGTTTTATTTTGCTGCTGTTGGTTCTTTTTTCCCCTCCGTCTTCACTTTCGAACATTGTCTGCTCAATTGGCTCAACCAAATTAGTTTGCTCCTTATTTCCTCGTCTTTTCGGATCTTGCGCGCATTCTGCTTGACTTGTTTGGCTTTGCTCAGATACCTTGTGCGACCTACAGATTGCAGTATTTGCTTCCACTGGAATTTCATCGTTTTGACTTTGATTTTAATTGTCTCTGCTCTGGAATGCACCATCGGCATGAGTGGATGGAGAGAGAAGGGATCACAGCAAATATGGGCCCGGAAGCTGGGGCGACGATGTTGTCCTGCACTGTTGATCGGTCGAACTGAGGTGGAGGAGCTGGCTTCTTGAGTACATGTGTATAGATAGTTTCCCAGGAGTCGAGCATTGAAATATCACTTCTCCTCATTGGCAAACCCACGCGGGAGTCATTATTTGGCTCACCACGCCGGCTGGTGTGACATTACAATAAGCAGAACCTATCAAGCTTCTCAAAATCATCATCGTCGGGAGGTCCGTCGCTTGGTTGACAAAGGAAGAATTCGATTGTTGAAGGAGTTGCTTACGCTAACTTGTTTTAGGTCACAAACGAGCGTGTCATAACCTCCGTGCTAGAGAATAAGGACCCTGTACCAGTCGAGGTGTCAGTTTTCTTGTGAATCGCACAGTGACATGGACCTGGTCTACCTGTCACAACCCATCAATGAGCAAGTAATGTGTTCTTCCCACAAACTTCACTCTTGCAGTGGAACACTGCGCAGGGTCTGGCCTGGCCCACTTGATGTCGACTTTTGACGCGAGATGCCGGCGGGTGATCTCTCAGGAATCGCACACCACGCCGTCGTGAAAGGCCGAAACGTCGAGGCAGCAACTGGATGCATGATCGAGCTCGGGGGGCTTTCTCGAGCCTCGAGTGACACGAAAGCCACACTTTAACTTGTGGAAAAGACATCGAACGGGAAGACACAAGGGGGGGCTTTTACTGGGCAGACTCAGCTTTCCAGCGAAGGTTGGCGTCTTCGTTCCTTGTTCTTTCTTTGTTGGCCCTCAGGAGACTTCTAACGTGGTGGCTTTGGCCTCGACCATGGAACGCCTTCGGCCCCGAGTCGAACTCCAGAGTACGACGCCCGCTCGAGCCCACCACCACCACCGCCGCCAGTCCTATCCTTCGTCCAATCCAGCTCATACGGGTTCTTGCAGTGTGCACAATACGACGAGACGCGACACGACGTAACACCAACTGGTGTGGCTGGACCGCCACCACTCCCTCGGACACACGGACAGGGAAGCTAAAGAGGGACGGTAGACATTTTGGGCCATCCCTGATTCCCAACCGGTTTCCAGGCTTCAGCCCGTTATAGTTGCCGTGGTTCTTTGTTCAGTTCGTCCAGCTGAGTACGTTAGAGATCACTTTGGGAATCGCAAGAAGAACGGTCTGCAACGGTCATTACTGGCCCATGTTTCGTGTCTTTGAACATTGTCAAGCTTGTCCTCCTCCATAGTACCAACCACAGCTCAACGATGCTGGCACACGTTTCTAACGTGTCGAACGGCTCGAACGGCTCAAACGGCTCAAACGGCTCAATCCTGTCTTTGTTTGTCAACTGGTCTCCCCTTTGACCTCCAACAGCTCCCAAATGTTGCCCGTTCACCAGCTGCCGATTCCATGGAGACGGCCATCCTGAGTGGCGTGGAATCTAGAGGGAAGGTTGTATTCTGGCTTGTGGAGGAATTCAAGCCATGGAAGCGACGGTGGTACAGCGTTGCTTTCTCCCGACCCTTGTGCGTCCCCATCATGCTCCTAACAAGTACATAGTCCGTCGATGATCCCGCTACGTCGTTTTTACTTCCGTCCATTCGGTTTTGTGTTGTTCTTGTTTGCTAATCCGCCGTCTTTCGTTACCCCTCTTAGTCGCTTCGCCTGAGCGTCGTCTACCTCCACTCCATTTCATCCCATCACCTCTCTATTTTTGTTTATGCACGCCTGGACGGGTTGCCTGCGTGCTTAGACCTCCAGTTCTGTCAAAAGTTTGGACGACGATCCGCGTACTCCTCTGGCAGTAGTACGCGTGAATAAAGACACCCACGCAACCACATACCCCGCGACAGCAGTCTGGACAGCAATTACCGACAGCAATCACCATGAGGAACATTGCCGCGATATGTGTGGCGATGGCCGGTCTTCTGGCCCCCATCGCCCAGGCTGCCTGCGAATGCGGTTATGCAGCCAATATCACAGGTACAGTCGAGGTTTTTACAGACCTGATCGAGACCGACTTCACAAAGGTAAAGGATATCAGGAACAACACCGACTGGGTGCGGCAGGACTTCAACAAGACCAACGCGAATGCAAGGGGGCCTCTGGGGGAGAAGTTCGCACCCACCAACGTCGCCACCTCATACAATGCAGGCTCAGGTTCTTTCGCATCGACCAAGATGAATGCCGGTCTTCAGCTTCTCGTAGAGAGCGAAACAGTAGATGGACTAGTACCGGGCGCAGAGATTGACTCGGCTCGGAATGATCTACAATACGGTTCCTTCCGGGCTATGATGAAGGTCCCTGATGTTCCGGGGACGTGTGCTGCTTTCTTCTGGGTAAGACTCCTTGGCTCGCCGATAATACAAGACAGATTGCTGACAGTGAATGCAGTATTATAATGACACCCAAGAGATTGACATGGAATTCCTCACGAGAGAGTTCAATGCGGCAAACAACTCGTATCCTGTCAACATTGTTCTGCAATCGCGCGAGTCCCTGGAGAAGGGCTACGACGCTACAGGAACAGGAAATTTCATCAAGGCAAACCTCGGCTTCAATCCTACTACTGGCTTTCACGAGTACCGCATCGACTATCTTTCCGATGAGGTTATCTTCTACGCCGATGGGGTCATAATCGGAAGCATGAACGGCAGTGCCGTGCCTGTCGAGGGTGGCCACTTGATTCTCCAGCACTGGAGCAACGGAAATCCTCTCTGGTCTGGCGGTCCGCCCAAGAAGGACGCAATTCTTGCAGTGGCTTCTGTCAAGGCCTATTTCAACTCATCCCTTGACTCTCGCAAGGCCGACCACCAGGCTCGTTGCGTCGATCTCTCAGCACCCGACGCCGTCTGCACCATACCCAGCGACCCTTCCTTTTTCTTTACTGCTCAGACGAACATGACCAACAACCAGACCGTGTCAGGACAGCCCAGCCCTGATGGTCACGAGGACCACGGGGGTCAGCAAGGTTCTGCCTCGGCAGAGACTCCTTCATGGCCTCTGCTTGTCAGCCTGTTGTTCATTGGTGTCTGGTTCATCTGACCTTTCTTCCTTCTGCTGGCATATCCTGAAGGCTAGCTCTGCACGCGAATTTTGTAAATGGGGCTCCTTGTTTCGTGTCCTAAACGATGATCATGATGTTTCTTCTTCTTTTTGGGCTTGCAGCGTGGCGAACGGAGTCTACGGCAGGCAGGCCACCAAACGACTATATGTATATTTACCGTCATGATGATGAAATTCATACGATACATCTCACCTGGGGTTGAATTGTCAAAAGATCTATCTGCCCCGCATTGATCTGCGTCGGCATCAAACAACTGCAATAGTTCTGCATCATCGTTGCTGAGGATTGAGAGGACGAGACCGTCACAGCCCGCCATTGGGGCTCGGGGCGTGCCTAGTTGACCACGCCGTCACTTGGCCGATTTCGAAACCTCCCACCGGTCACATTGTCATTTTCCTTCGGCAGAGCTTGAAAAACGCTATCATGATGGCAGTAAGTGTCATGTTCGGTAGTTGGGCGATAACGACGGTCTCATTTCACGCTAAGGTAAACCGCCTGCCGGAACATTGATCTGGTGACTCCGAGGAGCCAACTTGTTAGCTAGCAACGGACGTGTCTCGAACCTCCGAATCCCAAGGCCTGGGACCATCCTCCAATTTCTCCAATGCGAACTTCATTGCGGGGGATCAGCAGCACATGTATGCGGGCCCCTCACCATCTTCGGTGAGGCACATGAACAGCGGGAGGAACAGACGATCGGCAACTACTGGTCGCTCATCTCCGCGTCAGGCTGCTGCAGTGTTGCAGTCCACCTCCGTGGCCTCGGCTCTTGCTGGGCGGCTGATCCGTCTGATACCTCTGCGGAAGAATGCGGCCGAGACACTTTTACCCCGGATTTCCCCTATGCGCAACATCGTCGCGATTATCCCCCTACCGATCCCAAGTGACTCGGCGGCCTTCTCTGCCTCTTCCCAGCCACCAAGGCCTCAAAGGAGTCATTTGTCTCTGCTCAGGACGAATTGCGCTTCTTTCTCATGCTCCACTACCAGGTCGACGTATTAATGCAGAGCAACCCGGCCATGTGCTGCATGGTAACGGGGCCGTCAGATGGAGCTCCAAAAACCGGGCAAGACGTTCCTCGCATTGGACACTAGTCCGCGCATCCATGTCGTCAATTCCGTCATCCCGTGAGGGAGGGAGAGTCCAGCGCATCGCACTTGCGCGTCTGTCTCTCTCGACGTTTTAATAGTCACCAGCTTCTCTTGTTGGATGGGCCAAGCACTCGCACATGGCCATCCCGGTCGGTCAGTTGCCATTGAACCAGCTTTTCCTTGCCGGCGAACGAAGGGACGCGTTAAGCACCTTCATCATAAAAGGATCAACCCAGACCAGCGGCAGGCCTGTATGCTGCTACTGCAAGATATCGGCGCATCAAAGCACAGCCAACAGACCCAAAAATCATCATAGCAGTTCAACTGCTCGACAATAGCAGACATGACGAAATCGACGGTCGACATTGTTCTGCAGAACAACACCGGCTCTTCCAACGCGTATGCCCACCTGACCGGCCTGGATATCAACAAGAACAATGCCGTGTTCCTCCTCCAGTCCGATGGGGTTACTGGCTACTATCCCAGCTCGCCATCTGGGATTCTCCAACCGCTGGGTGCCGATTGTGCCATCTCGCTCGGGGCACCGGGGTCGACGCGAAAGCTTACGATCCCCCAGATTGCGGGTGGGAGGATCTGGTTTTGCCGGGACGGCCCGCTCCAATTCTATTTGAATCCAGGCCCAGCCGTCGTCGAGCCTTCGGCCACCAACCCATCCGACAAAAGTTACAATTTGGCTTGGGGCTTCGCAGAATTCACATTTAACAGTTTTCAGCTATTCGTCAACATTTCCTATGTCGACTTCGCGAGCATCCCGGTCTCACTCACTCTCGAAAACGACTCGGGCACCGTCACCAACGTACCGGGCCTTCCAAGCAACGGCCTCGATCAGATTTGCGAGAAACTCATTGCTCAGGATGCCACGGATAATGCCGGTTGGAGCAAGCTGATTGTCCGCACGGCTGACAATACGGCCAACTTGAGGGTTTTGAGCCCCAACTCCGGCATTGTCATGCAGCCGACTCTGTTTGACGGCTACTATCAGCCCTACGTCGATAGTGTGTGGCAGAAGTACAACTCGGCAGACCTCACAGTCAACACTCAGGCTGAATGGGGCGACGTCAAGGGACGAGTGGGCTCCGGCAACCTCTTGACATTTGGCAATGTCGGATCGTTCGCACAGCCGGCCTCGAAAGACATTTTCAGCTGCAGCACAGGGCCGTTTGGCGGGTACCCCAGTAACCAAGCGGAGATGGGGGCCATTGGCGCGCGCATCGCGGCGGCTTTCAACCGGTCGACGCTCCTCATCGATGACCAGCAGCCAGAGGGAGAGCAAGTGGCCAACTACTACAAGGACACCCGGACGAACCACTATTCGCGCATCTGCCACGAGGTCAGCATCGGTGGTCGTGGCTATGCGTTTCCATACGACGATGTTGGTCCGTCCAACGGTGCTGACCAGTCTGGCTCGCTGTTCGACTCCAACCCCAAGGTTCTGACGGTTGGTATTGGCGGCGGAAGTACGTCCGCGGCCAAAGAAGAGCTGTAAGGGTTTCGATGAGATCGCTCTCGGGCCTGTATATTTGTTGCCGCGTTCCAGCATATGGTCGAGACGTGGACGATGCTCGGATGTACATATGTTTGAAAGATGAGCTTGCTTTTCTAAGATCGATGGTGCGATTGTATGTATAAGTTGAGCAACCCCAACTGAATAGCACCAATAGATGCGATTTGCGCGTCGAGTTAGTACTGCCTGGAACGCGGTGCGACGGGAGCTTTTCGTCACACCTAGAGACAAGACACTAGGATTATCGGAACCCAGCCATCCCGTCGTACTCGAGAGGATGTTGGATGTTGAATCTGCTCTAGCGATCATGGGCCAAGATGTGATTCGTTCTCTGGTAACATGGCTGGCTGTCGGCTTGTCTCGGCCCAGTCTCTCGAAAGCGGCACACTTCATGGTCAATGACCGAGTGTTGATCCAGTCGTGCTGGCTCGCGACAGCCGTCGTATGCCGGCCATTCACGGTAGGGACCGAAATAGAATGGGCAGAGCAGTGGGTGACATGGATGGAGGTGTCCATCGCTTGGCTAGCTCAGGAAAAGAAACCGTTGAGGGCGGCGGGCTAATGAGCACGCGAGCTAAGTAAGCTAAGCGGCTGCGGTCCAGCTTTCCCGGAATCAATCCTGGCCATGCACGCTTCTGCAGCCATTCCCGCCGGGGACATGCTGCCTAAAGCCACAGTTGTAATGCGGTTTGTTTGGTTTGCTGTCTTCACCCGGTGACCTGTTCGTGATATGCCTTAGGTACTCACTCGCCAATGTGCCCAGCAGGCAGCGTAGATTTGACCGACCATCTACCAGCAAACGAATGAATGTACGGATACTCCGTACGTATGGATAGGCACGATGACACTAGGTGCATCGTCGATCGGCCCACGGCACAAAGAAATATGCTCTCTCGTTTGTGATGGCGCGACTGAGATTGGTTGCACAGGCTCCGTTTCTCCGTAATGGAAACAGATACTCGTGCAGTAAATCTGCCAGGCCTCGGCATTGGACCCAAAGCCGTTGGACCAAGACCCTGGCTCTGGCTGCCCGGTTCTAGGCTCACGAAGCCCCCGTCGCCACCGTTGCGTGTCCAGTCGTGCGTCCTCCAAGGGCTCTTCCGGCCCTGCAGGTATCGCACCCCCGTCGCTGGGATTTTCTGTCTCTGTTCCGGAACGGCCTGAAGCACCTGCTAATGACAGCTGCGGAGGCGATAACGCACTCAGGCAGGCTCTGATTTTGTCGTTCCATTCTTCAAGGCATGCCACTGACATGCCCCAAACGCCCGACTGAACAACGCATATGTCGTTGACCTCCTGATAGATCCCTCGAAGATACCAAGAAGCATCCCCCTTTTGGCCCGTTATCTTGCATTCTCGACTCGAACTCGACCGTTGAAAGCTGGGCGCTCCTCCACGGAGCATGGTGATCTCCGACCATCGCTGCCCGCTCTGCATGAATCCCGGTTTCTCTGCACATTTCATCTCCGCCTCGCAGCCCTCGCTTCTCCCCGCCCCGATATCTCGTCGTAAAAATGGACTAAATCAAAGTCCGACGATGGCACCCCCCGAGACAAATCCATCCCGTTCGGCAGTCTTTGAGCACGGCCAACCTTTGCTGTCTTCTTCGAGACGACCCGCCGCCGATATCAAGCGAGCCATCTGAGTGAGGTTTCAACATGGTGTATTGTGGGAAGCCGTCGAAGGGCTGCTCTAGCTGCCGAGAGCGAAAGATCAGAGTAAGTGTGGGCTTGCAGGCGTGCTTCTCCATAGTCATTACCGCGGCCGAGCATGCCTTTCTGTCAACAGGAGCTCTTTCCGAATGCTGCTAGAAAACGGCACCCTGATAGCGTTGAGCCACGTCGACCTAACATGATGCTAACAATATTCCCCGTTAGTGTGATCAGAAAGAACCCGGCTGTGGCCAATGCGAGAAACGCCAGCAAGAATGCCCTGGCTACCGCAACCTTGTCGATCTTATGTTTCGAGATGAAAGCGCCCATGTCAAAAGAAAGGCAACCAAAACAAGGACCCGGATCTCTGGAAAGCCTCCCACAGCGTCAAACGCTCCAGGCGCCCCCGAGCCCCCGGGACTCAGCGGGAGCGCACCGTCCAGCTCCGGTACCGAGCCCGAAAACCCCGCTCCGTATCCCAGAACGACCAACAGAGCGACCGACGCTCGTCGAAAACCCGCCCTTGCGCTCGCTGTTATAACCCAGCCCGTTTCTGTAAGGAGCAGGCCACGCCAGGCTCCCTGGCCATCACCACCCAAGCCTGCCTATCCTCCATCAAACGACGACAGCGACGATGAAGATAGCTCATTGCCATCACCGGAAGAAGGCAACTGGCCTTCGTCACCACCGACGACCTTGTTGTATGCGCTGGCACCCTCGTATCAGGAGCGTGGGACGGCGTTCTTCTTCTCTCGCTACGTTTCGGCTGATGAAAACGCGTGCTACCAGAACTATGATTTCGTCTTCGACATCTGGCGTCCAGCTAGCATGCTTCCAAGTCGACAGGTTGACGGCGTCATGGCAAGCATGACTGCCGTGGGTCTGGCCGGCCTAGCTGACCTGACCAAGTGCCATCAAACGATGGACTGGGCACGCAGGAGCTACGGCACTGCTCTCCGTCTGACGAATGACGCATTACGGGATCCATCCGAAGCAGTCAAGGATACAACAATGCTTTCGATTCTCGTCCTCAACACGTATGAGATGCTCACCGGTCGAAGCCCACAGACAGTCCGGGCATGGCAAGAGCACCTAAACGGCGCTTCTGCCTTGGCAAAGATGCGCGGCCTCGCCCAGTTCAGGTCGAGGGCCGGTGTGCGTATGTTCATCATGCTGACGCACATCGCGTTGACCAGCTGTATCCAAAGGAGCTTGCCAATGCCCCCATCTCTGGTCGAACTTCGCAACCAGCTGGGTATGCTTTCGCCTCCGGGTGACCCGAATTGGCGAATGTCGGGACCTATATATAGAGTCATGCAGCTGCGGCACGACATCAAGCGTGGAAAGCTCAGACAAACAGAAGCAATCGTGGACCAGCTGGCTAAGGTCGACAATGAGTTTGTCGACATTATCGCAGACCTCCCAGAATCGTGGCATTACCGATTGGTGAACCTCTCACAGTCCCACCCAGCAGTCTTCGATGGGTTCCACTGCCATGTGTATCCTGCATTGGGCCTTGCGGCTACATGGAACGGCATTCGATCTCTGCGAATGTTGGTGCACGAGACAATCATTGGAGAGCTCTGCAAAGATCTCGGCGAACAACCAATCCTCTCATGGCCGTATGAGGCAAAATTCCAGCTCGCAAAGTCTGTAGACGCGCTAGAGAAGCTGCGCGATGCCATCTTGGCTAGTGTTCCTCAGCACTTTGGCGTCGTCAACTACAATGACGCGAAGCCGGAGGACCGCGGGTTGCCAGTCACCCTCGTCAGGGCACGAAGGCCACCAGTTCGCGTCGTACCATCGCCGGCAACATCTGCGTCATCCTCCCCAGAGTGCCCATCTGCTGATTCTCCTCCCCGCCCTGGATCTTTCAGCGGGCCTACTCTTCACGATCCCATCCAAATGGAAGGGGTGAGCAACAGTGCGGAGCGTTTCATGATACTTGCTTCGGCTAGCAACACTATTGTGTGGCCGCTATATCTGCTAGGGGTCTCGTCTTCCGGTACACACGAAGTAAGGGAATATGTAATCGACCGCCTGCAAGCGATACTCAAAGAGGCGAGTCTTCAGCAGGCTGGCGGGGTGGCTCAGATGGTTCGGAATACCCAGGTTTCTATACCCTGGTCCGATTTGCCTTGGGATCAAATGCCGCAACTACCAACATCGCCACGTGTGATGGTGTAGAGCCTAGCACTCATCTGAAGGCCTGAGACACGGCGCCCTAGAAGTGGTAGCCTAGTCAGGTCTCTTCATTATATATCAATATACACACGACATAGTCAAGACATACAAGAGAGATTGCCGCACCGCTTGGCGAGGTCGACGCAAAGCTTTGGGGTATCTTGTCTATTTTGGATTTTGGATTCTCGTTTCCTCAGGTGACCCTGTATGCTCGGCTCCGCGACAGCCAGTCCTGACTTTTCACCAGTTGTCGAAGTTGCCGAAACCTCCACTCTTCATCTTCTTTCGTGACGGCTCCTCCCATGTATCAAGATCTTCTGCGTCGATACGCTTTGAGCCACTCTTCTGTGTTTTGAGGTACTTGCCTACAGTAGCACAGCCGTTTGCGGTCTCCAAAGTGCCGTCAGCTTTGATTCTCTTCCCTGTCCAAGTAGTCTTGTCATCTTCTGTACCGCCGTTGAGCTCTATAGCCTGCTTGGCCTTCTCCAGCTCTTCGATGTTGCTTTTCTCCTTCAAAAACTCCTCGAAAGGATCAAGATAGACCACAACCTCCTTCATCACGATCTTGTTCAGCGGCCTGTCAGATCCATCGGTTGGAACGTCCTCCATCTTTGACAGTACGTCAAGGCCACCGACAACCTTACCAAAAACAGTGTGCTTGTTGTCGAGATGCTTCGTTGGCCTATAAATGATGAAAAACTGGCTCGAATTGGTGTTCTTACCCTTGTTCGCCATGCTGATGATTCCTCGAGCATTATGCGTCAAAGGCCCGTCAAACTCGTCCTGGAAGTTCTTGCCCCAGATACTAGTACCGCCCTTTCCCGTCCCAGTAGGATCACCTCCTTGAAGCATGAAGTTTCTGATGTTCCGGTGGAAAGCGACGCCTTTGTAATAACCCTTTTGGGCGAGTCTTGTGAAGTTCCATACTGCACGCGGGGCAAATTCTGGGTATAGCTCAACGTTCAAATCGCCCAAATTCGTTTCTATCCGGGCGTAGCCTTTGATCTTGACCCTTTTGGGGTTGAGCATGTATTCCTCGTCGGTCAACAGAGCCCGCTCGCCGCTTGTTTCTGGCGTCAAACCCGTGCTGGTGAAACTGGCGGCTGCTCTGCCAGTTGTGTACACTGCCGCATTGGCTGGTATTTTCTTATCCATGATCATGGACTTGCGTTGCACCGCGGAACCGGGCTTGACGACCGCAGAAGAACGATTCACATCGAAGCCTTCGTCGCGTTTCTTACGAGCCTCTTCAACAGCTTGCTTAGCACGGAGGACCTTGTCGCCAATGCGACCCAAAGCATTGATGTTGACATTGCCCTCCTTCCGCTCCTCCTCCTGCTCCTTGGTCAAAATGGCCTCTTCACCGTCCTTGAGAAACTTGAACTGGCTCAGGTCCCTACTCGCAGCATTCTGCGGGTCTTGGAGAGTAATGATGTCGGCTTTGGTAAATTCCTTATCATCCAGAAGATCCCGCCAGTTCTTGGCCTTGACATTCATTCGCTCGACCGTGTCCCAGGCGAAGACGTTTGCATAGTTTCCGTGTCGGATCGCAACGATATGGGTGTTGTCTGTGAAAACCTTGAAGGTCACGGGATCAATCAAGTCGCCTTGACCGAAGCCCGGGGTCCGCGAGTCGGTCTCGGCGTTCCTGGCGAAGTTGAGTTTGATAAGGTCTTTCGCATCGAGACGATCGCCGTTGACGGGATTTGTGCCGTGCTTGTCTAGCCACGAGCTGATGACTTCAACGTCGAAAATGGTACCATCTTGGGTGCAGACGGGGTTTTTGAAGGGTTGAAGGCTGGCTGCGCAGAAGTTGAATGGCAGCCGTCGGAAAGAGCCTGGACGCGAGCGCGCATTGACGTTGGCGCCAGCACTGGCAGAGTATGCGTCAGATGAGGACCACTCCGAGTGAGTGATGTACAGCTTGTCGGTATTTTTGCCCATCGTAACGTAACGGAAAGGCGTCGTGGTAGTCGGGAACTGGGTTTGCGAGGCTGGATCGCGACGTCGTACCTATGGGTGAAATGGCCAGCCCCATAGGTGGAAGTCCAGTGAGCTTTTCTTAGTTGCTAAGCCCGGTAGCGGGGATGGCTGCTGTGCACCCAGTGCATGAAATTTCAGCGGGACCAATTGACGGAAACATGCGTAGATACCAGCCTGAGGTAGGTACTTCGTACGGTGCCTAATTAAGGTGCGTAGGCGCTCACTTGCACTAGCGGCTCTGGAAGCATCTCACTAAAGCTGGAAGTAGGTGGTCTTCTCCAATGAAACCTTGCAGGGATTGCAGGTCCAGCAGCAAGCGTACGGATACGCAGTACGTAGGCAGGTAGGTACCTCGGAGCTTGGCACGTCCCTGTTCCAAGGTCCTCCCTTCCGTGGTCAGTTTCGCCAAAAGGCTGCCAGCCTGGCACCGGCACACTTTGCTGCAGCAAGCCCAGCTTCACATTGTTCCCCGTGCAACGTATCCGACTTCGCCGCACTTATCAAACTCCACGATCCGCCATCAGCAAGTCGCATAGGTCCCACGTCGCAAAGCGCCTAGAGAACCGGCATGCTCGATACGACAACTGCTATTCCATATCTGTGGTAGACGCACCAATCGAGTCCGACACAGACCTGCTTCTCCTTCTCTCTAGCCACCAAGACTTCTTCCCAGAGCCGCCGACTGGTCGTTTGCCGACACCAAGCCCGCGATTCGAACCAAGGTCACGATGAAGGGCTGGCTTTGGGCCTCTGCCTTGGGCTTGTCCCTATGGACGGCCAACGCCCTTGAGGTCAAGATGGTACGAAACTTGTTCTACCATAGACACCGCTGCCGACGTGCCGCTTTATAACACGGAGACTAACCCATAGTGCTCAGGATCAAACCGATGAGAACAGACAGAGATGCTCTGGTACGTGCCATTCTAGTGCCAAAAGGACTTTCTACCTAATTCATTGTCCATATCAATGGGATGCTGATACGTGTTGCGATAGGCATGTACAGCCGCACTGCTTGGGGCGGCCCCGTCGACCCCTACATCAACGTTATGTTTCTCCCAAAGCAAGCTCCGGCAGATCAAGACCCTACTGTCAGCTTGGTCATCTTCGAATGGAAGGACGAGGACCTGATCGGGGTTCGCGAAAGTCAGGACTCGGAGCATGTGAGGCGCATTCCCGAAACTAGCATATATGTACGAAGGCAACTGATGTTCTCGATGGGTAGAAAATCGGCATCTGCCAGGAGCAGTTTGTTAAGAAGGGTTTCTGTAACGAGACCGATGTCGGCAAATTCATCATCGATCCGGAAGCCACCACGAAATCGAAGAACATGATCGATACGAAGGCGATTCATCTGAAGGAGCCGCAGGCCACCAAATACATGATTCGCAAGACCGGCTACTACTGCGTTCTCACCGACCGTTTCACTGCGGATGAGTATACTGCCGTTGTCGAATTTCGCAATGCGTACGGCGAGCTGCCTGCCACGCAAATCCCGAAATTGCCTTTCTATGGCGGAATAACGATTCTCTACGCCTTGGTTGCTGTGTATGGACTCTCCGCGCATTGCTTCAGTTGTTGCAAAGCTAATATTTTGTAGATTCTGGGGTTTCCTATACTACCAGCATCGCCAAGACATCCTTCCAGTCCAAAACTACATCACAGCAATTGTGATTTTCTTGGTTGTCGAAATGCTCATGACCTGGGGCTTCTACGGTGAGCCAGATTGTATGTGATACCACGATCATGTCCCTGATAAGTTCTCAGACTACCTGAACCGCAACGGCGCCAATATTGGGTCTAAGGTGCTCCTTGTCATTGTCGCCATCCTCAACGCTGCCCGCAACTCGTTCTCTTTCTTCCTGCTTCTGATCGTGTGCATGGGCTACGGAGTTGTCAAGCCGACGTTGGGCAGGACGATGGTTTACGTGCGCTGGCTTGCGATTGCCCACTTTGTCTTCGGACTTGTGTACGCAATTACTAGTTTGCTGATCACCCCTGACGCAGCTGGTAAGTTTTGATGCCCATTTTGCGAATGCGACATGCTTACTTGGGTAACAGGACCCTTCGTCCTCCTGATCGTTCTTCCGCTTGCTGGCACACTTACTGCTTTCTACGTGTGGACGTTGAACTCCCTCAACTTCACCCTCAAGGACCTGCGTGAGCGCAAGCAGCATGCTAAGGAAGCTATGTACAAGAAACTGTGGTGGTGCATCCTAATCAGCATTTTCGTCATCTTCGGTTTCTTCTTCTTCAACAGCTTCAGTTTTGCTTCTGTCAACGACCCTGATTACGTCCCCTTCCATTGGAAGTCCCGCTGGTTCGTTCTCGATGGCTGGCTCAACCTTGTCTACTTCGCAGATGTTGCCTGGATCGCCTACGTCTGGAGACCGACAGCCAATAACAGGCGCTTCGCTATGAGTGATGAGATCGCTCAGGACGATGATGGAACCTTCACAATGGCGGACATTGGCGCGCCTGACGACTCGGACGATGACGAGGAAGCCCAAATCGGCAAAGAGAGCAACCCGCGATCAGCTGCCACTGCTTCATCGGGTGCACAAGCGAGCAATATGCCCCAGACGCAGCCGCAAAGACACATTCCACGAGATTCTCTGGACGGAGAGACCATCTTCGCGGTGGGCGAAGATGGCGATAGATTCTCAGACGACTCTGACGAGGAAGACGCCAAACTTGTGGGTCCGAGGAAATAGATGAATTTGAGGTTTGTGCAAGGGGCAAAAATCGGCAATGACATAATTGCAGTGTACAACATGCACTTGGAGGTGGCGTTTGCGTATTCCACTCGGTTTCATTGTTCGGTAAGAGGCCTATGTGTTTAGAGGTGGGAATCATGATATTTGGTTTCGTTGAAGCATACCAACCTCCCTCGAAGAAGTGAGTCACTAGAGAAATGTGTTAGGAAGCTGTCAGGCGGCTAATGTTGGCCAATTGTATGTGTGACTTCACACATCACCGCCAAAGCCAACCGGCCGTCTTCTTCCTTCATTCTCTGGCAAGATCGCCATGGCCTTGTAGACCTTGCCCATGCCCCCTGGGCCGCGATCAGTCAGACGCTTCCAAGCCTTCTCAATATCCTGGGCCTTATCAGCAACACCTTTTGCCCCGGCTTGCCTCATGAGCACCTCCGCCCGCTCCTTGATGCCCATCTGGCCCAAAAATGCACCTTGGTCAACGGGGCCGTGAACCTCCACCCCCTCACTCGAACGTGTCGCCGCCTCAGCAATGGCCGTGAAGTCAACGTCGGCACTCAGATCAACAAGACCAGGGTCTGCAAAGGGGCTTACACGGCGGTGGCGACGGATGCCACGCAATGAGTTGATGGGGACTGTGTCAGCCGTGCCATAGTCCAGAATCAAGGCTGCGCCAGAGGGACGAGCTTTGGGATGCTGCTTGGAACCGCCAATGCGGCTGGCGAAGTCCGCTGCATAGAGGGACGCGTCGGCGCAGATCTCGGCCACAGCATCAGGGATGGACTTGAGACGGCTATATCTTGAGGATGACTCAGGCAGGTATCTTGAATGGCGCGTAGGTCCCGTGGAGAGTGTCATCTGGAAGTCGGGAATCGGATCTCCCTGCTCCGACTTGGGAATGTTCATAGTCTCATGAGTGGCGTCTGGCGGAGTGGGGGACACCAACATTTCTCGCCATTCGACCTTGGGTTTACCCTCTGCGGGAATCGTTGATGACGCGTTGCTTGTTGCAGGCTCGCGAGGAGGCGGTTGGACAGTTACAGCCTGGAAGGCGTGTATAGGGAGGGCATCAAAAAACTCGTGGGCCATGATGAGGGGCATCTTGTCTGGGTCTAACGATCGAATTCAGCTTTCATGAACACATACGATGAATGAATAATCCGGGCCTACCGCAAGGAATCGACTTGATTGTCTCGGTCCAAACAATAGGCAAGCTTTCATACTTGCAAACACTGTGATAGCCAACCTTGGACTCAGTCATGGGAGCGTCAGGCCCGCACAGAAGGTTCTTCTGAGCCTCACGGAGCTGAGGACTAGCTTCGACCATGTAAATGGCGTCAATACTCGAGGCAAACTCTTTGAAGTTTTGCATAGTCTAGAAAGGGCATCAGCTTTCTGCTCAAGGACCACGCAGGTGGCGCAGATTGGCTTACACGAAGCATGTCGTCCATCAGTGTGCCACGTCCAGGGCCAACTTCAACAAGCTCAACACCTCTCTTAGGTTTTCCTTGGCTCAGCCACTCTGCAACAAACCACACACCGACCAATTCGCCAAACATCTGGGAAATCTCGGGTGAGGTAACAAAGTCTCCCTTCAACCCGAACTGGTCTCTGTTCTCCTCGGCCAAGCCGGTGTAGTATCCGTCAATGTCGCCAGTTAAACACATGCGCATGTAGCTTGCAAGAGGGATTGGCCCCGTCATCTGCCCACAACATTGTCAGAGTAGATTTGCGATGATAGTGCCCACGGGCGCATACAGAGATAGCTTCGGCCAGCTGCTTCGCCAGAGGAGTGGACCACTTTCTCTCCTCCTTATCTTCTCTATTTCGCCTGGGAACAGACTCCGAGAACGACCTTGAAGTGTTTACCACCCATGATCCCTGTGTGACGCGGTTTGAGGCGACAGCTCGTAGACCAGCCGTGAGAGCGCGTCGAGGAAAGAATCGTTGCATCGTGCCCGTCGTATCGTAAGAGACCTTCGACACTCTTCTATGTTTCATATGCTGAATTATGTCGAAGTCATCGCGCATCTGCCGAGAAAGAGACGAGATCTGTTTCGGTAGCACATTCACATGTGTGACGCGGCGGCATGTGCTTTTCGTCGCTTTTGGCTTCAGAGTCCGGTTTCCCACGACAATGGTTGGCGGGCAAGTCGGGGCCAGCTTCTGAAGCTTTCATCTTAGCGTATCCATATTTGCGGCATGTGCGATAAGATAAGGACCCTTGCTGCTCTAGCTTCGTCACCATCTCCTGGAAAAGTCGGAGCAGTTCGCTGCCGACTCACCGCGCGTGATCCCTGCACACAGCCCGAGACTCATGGAACCACCGCGCCCAGTCGTCTTCTGTGCAATACCCGAATAGCTGAGCTTCTGCTGGTATCTAAACTTCACAACAGCATATCTCAAACAGAAATTCTTGGAGCGGGCATGCGAGCTGGACAAATCACGCACCTCTTCCAAATAACACCCAATACTATTGCGCCGACGCAATGGCAAGCAACGCCAGGTCTAGATGGGCCGATAGCGCGGAAGATGCAGCTCTGGAGGCCAAGCTGAAGCGGGAGAAGGAAGAGAAGAAGCGTATCAAGGCAGAGAAGGCCCAAAAGGCTGAGGCCGACCGATTGGCTCAACAGGTCAAAACGAGCAACGACAACGCCGCCGAGAATCACGACGAGTCCCGACCAGCGAAAAGACGGAAATTCACGCCAGATCCCGAAGGCAGAGCCCTGGACGGCACTTCGAATAAAAAAGAAGGCGCATTGAAACTCATGCGCATGCCCTTTGGCCATTGGAGAAAGTGCCGCAGTGTCGAGAACTACGAGAAGCTGAACGACATCGAGGAGGGTACATACGGTTGGGTTTCACGCGCCAAAGAATCCAGGACGAATAGGGTTGTCGCTCTGAAGCGTCTAAAGATCGAACCAGGCGATCGTAATGGACTTCCAGTCACGGGCTTAAGGGAAATACAAATCTTGCGGGACTGTAACCATCGCAATATTGTAAATCTGGAGGAGGTTGTGGTTGGAGAAGAGACTACCAAGATCGAGAAGTACGCCATGACAACATGGCATCCTTTGGGGGACAACACGCTAACCAGCTTGCAGCATTTTTCTCGTTCTAGAATTCGTTGAGCATGACCTGAAGAGTATACTGGAGGACATGCCCGAACCGTTTCTCCTATCCGAGGTCAAGACACTTCTCCGACAACTAACGGCCGGCGTTGCCTACCTCCACGACAATTGGATTCTCCATCGCGATCTCAAAACATCGAATCTTCTCCTGAATAACCGTGGCCAGCTCAAGATTGCAGACTTCGGCATGGCTCGTTATGTCGGCGACCCCCCGACAAAGCTGACCCAACTCGTCGTAACGCTGTGGTACCGGTCGCCCGAGCTGCTCCTGGGGGCCAAGACCTACGGCAAAGCCGTCGACATGTGGAGTGTCGGCTGTATATTTGGAGAGCTACTCACGCGGGAACCACTTCTCCAGGGCAGCAACGAGGTTGACCAGGTCACGAAGATCTTCGAGGTGTGCGGCGTGCCGACGCAGGATAGCTGGCCGACATTCAGGAGCCTTCCGAATGCTCGCTCCTTGCGTCTTCCAAAGAACTCTCTCACCACGGGGTCTGTCATCCGTGCAAAGTTTACAACGCTGACCAACGCCGGTTGTGCGTTGCTTAACGGTCTATTGTCATTGAACCCCGACTCACGGCCTTCCGCGAAGGAGATGCTGGATCACATGTACTTCAGAGAAGACCCGAAGCCCAAGAAGGAAGGCATGTTCCCTACGTTCCCTAGCAAGGCCGGCCAGGAGAGGAGGCGCCGGCATGAACCTAATGCGCCCGTACGTGGCCAGAATGCAGTCGAGCTGGGAGATGTCGACTTCAGCGGCATCTTTCAGGGTAGGGACAAGGAAGAGAGGGGTGGAGGGTTCTCGTTGAGGATGGTGTAAGTCACAACCAAAGCGCAAGCAGCGGGCATAGAGAAAGTTTAATACATGACCGTACGTGTTCGATCAGTATCATCATTAAGCTATGTATCAGGAGAACTCATAAACATTTCCAAGTTTATATGTGAAGCCACCATTTTGCCCGACCATGTTGAACACAACGCCACCCTAATGATCACCGTAAATGATTACCGCTGGACTTGTTCTCGCTCTCAAAGCTCCCAAAATAAGATGTTCAACCCTGATTACCAAGGAAATAGTCATTAAAACATGCCTAGTCCAGCCACAAACCACGTAAAGCTGGCGACGGTGATGATGCTCATACCCACGGCCATGCTAATGGCCTTGCTATTGAGCGCGGAGGCAGCCGAGTCGCAAGTCGGGCAGTTGAAGTCGCTCAACGGTGTGTACGCTTGGGGCTGGTACATGCCAAAGGTGAGAGCGTTGGAAACACCCAGGTAGCCGGCGCCTGCAGTAGCAGTGACGCTGGATTCGGCGTCATAAATAATCAGCGTATACGCGTCGTTGCCCAAGGGAGCTGAGGCATCAGTAGCCTGGACGCTCGTATCCCATGTGTAAGAAGCGGGCTCGGCCCAACTCATGTTCTGTGTCAACGTCCACGTCTGGGATCTGGAAGAACAGCTGATGAGCACATCAACGGCTGTTGGGGTGGCTTGCACATTTGTGTAGTTCCACTTCCAAGTGACGTAGTCTCCGATCTTGTACAAGTTGATAGAGTTGGCCGTCGTCGCGGGATCGACCATGACAACACTGCCAACAGGATCTCTAGCATCGAAAGTAGACTCAGAGCTCGCGGTAGCATCGGTGCCTGTGCCGGTGGCAGACCCAGTGTTGGTGCCTGTCTTCACCTTTGCGGTGTTAAGGTTGGTTGTCTTCGCTCCGCCGGTGTTCGTCGCGTCTGCGGTAGTGGCGGTTGCTTTAGCACCTGTCGTGGCAGATGCCGCTTGGGTGGCAGTGGCAGCGGCTATGTTCAAGTCAGAGATATGGACGAGCGACCAACAACCGAGCCTTGATATAAAATACCTGTGGATTCGTCATTTTGACGAACTACGAGCGCATCTACATCAGGGAGCCATTGTGGCCAAGCGGAGGCCAGGGAAGAAAAGACGGCAAGGCCGAGAGCAAGAGTGTGAACGGCCTTCATGATTATCGATCGAGGTACGGGTGGAGGGTGGCAATCTTATGAAACGAGTAAACACCAGGGGGAAACTCAGTGGTGCGGCTTGGACGAATATGTCGAGAACTCGTCGAAACAGCAGTGAACGATTGCAATCGAGCGGGGTGATATATCTTGGTGGTTCGAAGAGCTTTGAGGTAGGGTGTCAGGATGGTGTGGTGTCGGTTCGCGGTGACCCCTTTTTCGGTGGGCAAATTCGCAATAACAAGACTTGGGGTAAACTTGTCGACGTCCAAATCGGCCAAACCGGGTGAGCCTTTGTGATTTCCTCCTCTTTCAATAAGCGACCGAAAAAGCGAGCGAGTGTGTCAAGCGAGTGTCGATATCGAAATTGAAATAGCAGTAGAAGAAAAGGAAAAAAAAAGGTGACGAGAAGCGGCGCTGGTGGTGAAAATGCTGCTGGGAAGCAAATCACATGAGGATTGTGTGAGAGGGAAAATGATTAGAGGCGAGAGAGGAGAGGGAGACGAAATCTGCAGTGGAATTTGCGTTAGCCCCGGGTAAGGTAGTAATTAGGTAGGTAGGCCTCAGGAGGACTAGGTAAGCATTACGGCTAGGAAAGCACTGGAATGGCAACAGAGAAATTTGGGGCGGGTTCAACAGGAGACGGGAGAAGACTGTGAAAGCGCACAGCACTGGAGGTCGAGTGGATGGGATGGGCCCCAATTGATTAGGTTTGGTGGGTCCACAGCAACCAAGGCGAACCCCCGACTGTCCAAGTCACTCCAGGGACAACAGCGCCCAGTGACGGGATGATCGCGAAAAAATGGAATGCAGGGCAGCACAGCGACAGGGGCGGAGCCTGCTAGAGCATGCACCATACGGGATGCATAGAAGCAAGAGATGGGGTGGCACAGCCGAACAAGCCAAGGCACCTCGAGTTTTCTAGCCAATCCTGTGCTGTGTGCTAACACCATTACCTCAGCCCGCCCGGGTGAAAGATGGGATGGGAATGGAAAATACAACATCAGCAACAATAGTAAGAGCATGACACCACAGGGAAGGAGCACGGGAGCAAGAAAAAGTAGGATCAACAAGCCAGTCACTCTTCCAGCCGTCCTCTGGCGGCACATCGAATCGCCATGGGCCTCCAGGTTCCCGCCACCCGACAAGCACATATCTGTACCTAAGGTATGCAGTCCACGGGTGACTCTAGCGGCACATGGGCTGCCCGCTCGCCGTTGACCAGTGAGCATACCTAAGATGCGCATCCAACCCCCCGTCGCGCGTCCAAAAAAGGGGAAAGGGAGGGGAGGGCCATGGGCAGCCAAACACCGCTGGCATAGTGTAACGCCCGGCTTTGATAGCGACAGTATGCACAGCACCTCAGTTGCTGAGGTGTTCCGTACTTTGAGTGGGTAGGTACCTACCTTCTTCGCCGTCCATTCGTCCAGGCCCGGACCTTAGTACAGATGCAAAGACCAACCAACCGGACTGGTGCGTCGGGTGAGCAGACTGGATCCACCAGCCATCGTATTCCTTCCCCTCCAACGCCTCTCCTAAAAATAATTACCGGGACGCGCGCCTCCACAGATTCAATCAATGATGGAACTGAGGCGAGACCGATGGATGGAGCGATGAGCGCCTATGAACACCTGTGTCAGTCGAATTTCCTCCTGACGATTCTAGAGCAGGATTCATCGCGAGACTGGTCCCGTTGGTCCGACTCACCATCGCATGTCGTCCGTCAGGCCCAACTGTCCTCGTGTTGTACTTAGGTGCCTTCGTTTTCGAGGCAAAGGACCGCGACTGTGGGTGTAAACACCGGATCGAACCACGGATGCCCCGAGTAAAGACGACGCAGGGTACCGTCAGCTGGCTGTCCTTGACTCGGAAGCGTCGCCCATAGCACGCCCGAAATGGACGGCTCCCACCAGCATCTTATGCAGCTCGGTGCAGCATGGGTTTGGCCCACTCGCATCGATTCTTATCAGGTTTTCGGTGCACATCATGTTTGTCCTCGTATATAATACTACAGGAAGGGCCTGCGTAGCCAAGCCGTTGAATGCAAACCAAGCAGGCTACGCACAGTAGCACGGACAGCATCTGATGCACATCAAATGTTTTGAACCACCGCCGCCAAAAACGGCTGCGATCTTCCAGACTCTCAGAGACCTGTCCCACTAGAACCGAAGTACAAGTTTCTTCAAGGTGACGCCGTGATCCGCGGGAAGTGTTCAGTCCTTTGCTAGGCTTACCCTGTTCTGCCGGGCCAAACGGTCCCTCGGTGAAACGGGCTCCTCTACAGTTGCGACAGTGGCTTTTCAGGTTAGGTAGGTACCAAACCACCTCTGCGACGGCGGCGGACTAAAAGAAAATTCGGAAGCTCATCGTGTTCCTGCTTGATCTTGAACTTTGAAGGCGTCTTCATCGCCAAGACATACCTTGAGCACTGGTATGTTGTATGATTGCCCAGCCGAATTTGGTTTCTGCGGCGAGTCGTGACGAATGCCGGCATGATTATGCATTTTGATTGAGGAATGACATGTTGTGCTCGGTCTGCTGCGGATTATCTTCTGCCTCCCTTGACCAAATGCCTTGCCCTATGCCATCATTGCCGCCAAACCATGAATACGTCGGCGGGAATATAATGTCCATTCCACGACGACGCCAAGTGCTACAGTAGCGTTTAAATCTCAGTTCGTCCTTCCAACCCTCTCAGATGATCGATGACTCAGCAAGAAATTGATTTCAGGTTCAAGAAAGGGCTCATTTGTGTCAGTGGAAATGCCACTTCGTCAGCAGTTCGTACGCTGTACCTTCATTGACGGACTATGGAAGGGCGATACCTAGTTCTCGACCGACGGTGGATTCTTGCTGGGCGTGTAAGGAAAAGGGGGATGGGGGGGAGGACACTCCAGGGGTCTTCTCTGTTGCTTCTGAAGTTCAGCATTGAGTTTGCGGGATGAATGACGAAGAGTTTGGACGACGTGAAGCTTCCCGTCCGTTGACATGCCGCCTCATGGACCACCGGCTTTCTGGGCCCAGGAACTGGCCTGGAAAGACTCCCGTCCGAGACTTTGGAGTTCGATTCACCCGAACCCATCATGCTGGCGGCTGAATGTGGGGCTTTACGGACCCTGCACGAACACTCACACTGTGACCTCACTCACTCCGGTAAGCTATCCCATCGAGTGCGAGATGACGTCGGTACATACCTATACGGGGTAGTAGCGAATTATGTATTAATCCGGCTTCATTTCCCTTATTCCCGCGAATGGAAGGCTTTTAAAACGGGCAGATTTGGAGAAAAGTGGGTGGTGCTTGTACCGACGTCATCTCGCACTCGATGGGATACTACCTTGGTAAGGTAGGTAGGTAGGCACCTAGGTGTCGCTTATCGATAAGACAAGCTTCTATCGGCCACCACCTTCGATGCCTACCTAGGTACCTACCTCATCTGAGGTAACCTTCCTTAGATAGGTACCCCCAAGTGGCTTGCTGCGTTCGATATCGAGCGGCCAATAACTTCTCCAAACTCACTTTTTGCCAACCTGATTTTTGTTGGCGATCACCTCGTGCCAGTCATGGTGTCTTTCGTCAGTGACACGGTCTCAATTGACCGGTCCTATCTTGATACCTTAATCCGCAGGTAATTACGCCTGACACAATCTAGCTGGAGTCTACCGTCTGAGCCTCCTTCGAGACCGAACGAGGCTGCTGCGAGCTGGCAAGATGCTAACAAATGGCGCAGGGCTGAGCTCGTACGTCTCACACCATCATTTAGCTGTCTTCTTCTCCCTCGATCGGAGAATATGGGAATGCTGACATAGACTCGGCTCCTACAGAACACTAGTGACCCTACGTCGTGTCACTCCACCATCACCATCTCTCGCGCCGAGCATGAAACTCTGCTCAATGCTGCTCGTGAATTCGGTATAACGCCAACCCCCGCTACTTGGCAATACAGGATTGCCGAGCACCAAAATTCATTTGTCTGACAAACTGAATAGCCAACCTGCGCCGCAACCTGATGAGAGGTGGTGTCACCGATGATACACTTGCTGTAAGTCGTCGACTCCACACCATGCGTCTCGTTAGCTAAGCAAAATGTTGCCCAGGTTCTGACGAGCGACGAATCCCAATGTCAAGAGGATGAACAGAAGCCGGCCGGTCAAATCCCCGACCCGTCTTCGGGCGGTGGTCCAGACTATGTTCACAAGCCAAGCCAAAAGATTACGGCTGCCACACGAGTTCCCAACAGCGACTGTCATGGAGGCCAACCCAGTGATCGCGGGTCCATTAAGCAGGATTGGGCTGACACGGAAGTCCATGAGATTTCGGAATTGTGCATTTCCCCCACCGAAACCAACCATCAGCAGGGCTCAAGTCACCAAGACAAGGATCAAAAGCCTTCTCGTCTCCAGTTCGAGAAATCGACCACCAGAACGGTCTTGATCACCAATTTACCCGATGGGACGACTCACGCTGATGTCACGGCCGTCATCCGAGGTGGTCAACTCCTGGACATCTTTCTGCGCAAGCATGACCGCTCTGCCCAGGTCTCCTTTTTGCATTCGGCAGAGGCTCAAGACTTCCTTGAGCATGCGCGTCGCCACGACTTGTATATCAAACACAAGCGAGTAAGGTTGATATAAATGGTTGCAAACGCTCTCAGCTAAACAAGCTATTAGGTCGAAGTCCGCTGGAGCGATCGACAGTTCATTCTACCTGGCCACGTTGCGAGTAAGATTGGAATCGGCGCTACACGGAATTTAGTGATTCGGCGTTGTGATCCGAACCTGACCGAGGAGGGTGTCCGGGACGACTTGGAACACATCCACAACCTTGTTGTTGTTCGCGTCTCGTTTAGAAGTGGCAGCTGCCACATTGGCACTAACTCGGTTCACAATGCCATGTTTGCGCGTACCTGTATGATGAGTCGCTTGTAAGCTGGTCTGCTCGAGGAAGTACAACAAATACTGACCAAGCCACAGCAAGTACAAGGGTTCCAGGATCGACTGGGACGTCGACGAGTGCTCGCAGCCACTGGAGAAATTTCAGTACCCCCGCGCCCCGGCACACTCTCTGTCAACTAAGCGCCCGTCGGACCCCATGGCAAACCGGTTTCAACTCTTGCACCTGGACGACGATGATGAGGATGAGGATGTAGCTCTTCTAGAGTTCCAACGACGCCCGATGGACATCGTGGTTTGAGTAGAGATACCACACCAGGGTTCTCGCGAGAGTTTTATCCTTGCGCTCTGCCTTCGGTCTAGAGTCCGGAGTCAGGTGAGGGAATTTGTGTGTCATTTCTATGCTTCAGGCGTTGGTTGCGAATACCCTTGGGCTTTATTGTGTTATGTTGTCCTGTTCCTTGGCAGCAGTGCTGTGTGGCTTGGTCTCCTAGGAGGGCGGCGGTGCGTCAGGGAAGTCGGCATAATTCTGAGACGTGTCAATGAGTCACAATACAATACCAAGCTGCGTTTCTTGATAGTTCTTTTCAAAGCCTTTCTCACCGATGCGCATCTTCCAACGCGGTTCAACTTCACTACATGTCAGGCTATAATGATTGAAATTGAAAAGTAATTGAATCATCTATGATACCAACCAGATTGCTAACCTAAATGTTTGAAGACAAGATGCATCAAATGTTTGCCTAAAGTCTTGCTAGCTGGGCGTTGTCAGTTGGCTATCCGGCAGTGTCACCTATAACTTTGATTATAACTGAGCGCACCTAATACCTCGATAAGGATGACAGTAGTACAGAAAACGATAAGGCTAGTAATGGTAACGATGATAGACAACGATAGAAGACGACGATAGAAGACGACGGCAGAAGACGACGATAGAAGACGACGACAGAAGACGAAGATAGAAGACGACGACAGAAGACGATAAAAGCGAGTATCCCGGAAACGTATTTGAAGGTAATATAGGAAATATAGAGGGTCTCGCTAGCATATGCGGATTACATGCGTATATGATGGACAGCCCGGATAGCTGACTGACACTTCCCGGCTGGCGAAAGTCTTTGCCAAACCTTCGCTTCTACAAAATCAGAGGGTGCCGTAAAACCCTCACACAACACCCCAGGCCTGATCGATAGGCAAGCTCACTCCGTTGATGGTTCGTGCTTGATCGGAGGCGAGGTAAATGACCGCTTGTGCAACCTCGAGGGGCGTTATGTCCGGCGTCGACCCTGATGCATGGGTTTGCAAAGCATGGACTGGCTCAACTTGGGCGTAGGCCTCGACATCAAATTCATCGCCTTGTCCCGTGGCAATGGCCTTTCCAATACGAGAGTCAATCGCACCGGGAAGCACAGCATTGCATCGGATGCCCTCCTTACGGAAGCGCCATGCCACATTCTTGGTAGCACCAATCTGTAGACGACACTGTTAGCACCTGACCTCAAGATTGCCGTTCTTCTTCGTACGACTTACCAGTCCATGTTTGCTGCAAGTATACGCTATGCCAGCAACTGCCCCAGACAGGCCAGCCGTACTAGACACATTGACAATGGCACCAGTGCCCTTCTCCTTCATGAAGGGCAGGACAGACCTCATCATTTTGACCGGGGCCGTCAGGTTGACTGCCATTACTCTATCCCATTCTGCGTTTGTGACGCCGTCCACGCTGCTGAAACTATCCATGACACCTGCAACGTTGACAAGCAAGTCGATTCTCCTCCTAGTGCCGTTGTCAAAATAATTTTCCCCCTCAAGTCCCTTCTGTCAGCACGGCACTCACCCGAATGACGAAATTGATGCGTAAACTCCATCCTCGCATGCTCGCGGTTCTGTCAGGTCAGCTCGGTGGAAGTGGAAGCGGCCGTGATCACACTCCTGAAGAAGCGAGTAGTTGAATTCGCGCGCATCGAGACCGCAAACTTGAAATTGGTGTGCCAGCAAGAGCTGGGTGCAGGCCAGGCCGATCCCCGAGCTGCATCCGGTGACAACTGCTACCTTGCCATAACCTATTGGGTCAATCGTCTTGGGAGGGATGAAGAGGGCGTCTGGGGAGGTGTGGAAGAACATGATTGATTGTCTGGGAGGTAAGCCGGAAACATTGATATCCACGGTTCCAGCTGGGCGAGGTTTTCTTCTCGCCGGGAATGGTTCTGGACGGAACAGCGCCAATCAACAGTCTAGCTGTCGTGGGAGATTGGGGGAAAAATTGGTTCATCATCATGCTATGTGCTGGAGCCTCCATTATATCGTCTTGGGTCTCGCGAGTTGACCGTGTCATCGGTGCATCCCGCGCACATCATCATCAGAACAAGTGGTTCGACAGAAGGTCAAATGCGTGGCAAGCGACTTCCACTTGTTGGTTCTCCTTGCTTCCGCCATCCTAAACCGGGCTATAACTCATTTTGCACACTCTCTCTGCACCTCGGCCATCAGCCCACTTTCCATTAACACTCCACAGCAGCCGGCGTTTGCCGTGCTCCAAGAATGCCGCATGAGGGAGAAACAGCTAACGGAAGGTCGTTCTTCGTTGAAGACCGATGCGGGCCGGCTACACACGGTCACGCCATTGCCGGAGCGCGGGCAGTCGATTGACAAATGGTACAATGCGGGGGTGGGTATTTGTTGCCATGTGAATTGCTTCCCCAGACCTTAGGAAAGTATCACCTTGGTACGAGTGCTTGGAGAGTTTCTTCCAACCACTGAAGCGAAATTGGCAAACGAGGTGCATCCCAGGGTATAGTATTTCCTTCCTGAATATTTCATCCTGCACCCTTGGCCGTTCTCCTCAAGCACTTGTCCACCAACGTAGATACTTTGCCACGTCCTCAACCCATTGCAACGCAATACCAAAAAAATAAGATCGCGACTCCATCTAAATGCATGCGTATGTTCGCCGGACAAATCATTAGACGGTTTGTCAGGAATTAGCTGGAGGTGACTGCCGTTCCACCACCCGTCACGATTGTCCTATTTGCTGTTGTTCGCTACTGATGTTAGGTAGCCTAGCAGGAAGCTACGATCCGCGGGCGAAATGGGTGTTTGACTGCCACGTCGGGATTCAGGCAGGCCTTCAGGCAAGCCTTGCCCGCTTGCAGAGGCAAGAGACGCCACCCGTGATCGCATCCCCCCCATATCAGGCGGCATTATCTCTCTCGTCTTTCCCTTGTCATCCACCGCATAGCCCGGACCAGGACTGGGCGACTGTGGCTTCCCGAAAAGCGAAAGAAGCTTCTGCCTCTGTTCCGTGGACATCTCGGGCTTGCGCTGTAACGCAGCTGGTGCTGGCAGCGCGGATGCTGCCGGAGGGCTCGCCAGACTGGCGGGCTTGTCCGCACCAGCGGCCCCGAGGAGTGCTGCCATAGCGGGACTACGAGGTCCTATCGGCTTATTCACGCTCTCCATGTGCTGCGAGACATGGCTAGACTGTAATTGAGGAGGGTTGTTGAGAACCGCCAATTGGTTGATTGCGCCCTGATTGTATACACTTCGGGTTTCCGTTATTCTGGGGCTGTAGCCACTGGTAGAATGAGGGCCTCGACACTCAGTTCCTCCGATTTGTTGCGATTGAAGTGAGAGATTATGTGACGACATCTGAGTTGCAAGATCTGCAGGTCCCTGGGGGGGCCTGCTGAGAGGACTGCTTGACACGGGTTGAGTGCTGCGGTTTTGGAAGACAGGGCTGGGAATGTCCTGGTTGTCTCCCCTCGTGGTCGAGATTCCCTTGAGAAGCGCGGCACTCGCAGTAGTTGCTGGAAGTTCAGCAGGTTGATTGGCAAGAGGAGAGCTGGTTTCGGGCTTCTTGAACATATTGAGAAGAGCAGAGCGATGAGCAGGGTCGACAAGTTGCTGGCCCCGCTGGCTCATGGCCTGATTTGGGTTGGAATGGACTGGACTTGCATTCGAGAACGGTAAGCCAGGCTGCTGAACATACCCTTGAGCCCCTGCATGACTGTGCATACCGCTAGAATGCTGAACATGTGCGCGGGTGGGCTGGCTGTAGGACCCTGGGACCTGACCTTTGTCTGGACTGATGGCCTTGGTATCGGATTTGAGGACGCCCAGTAGAGCCATAGATTGATTTGAGAGCTGCCCAGCAGGCGGCTTGGGTTGATACAGCAGGTTCTGGGTTTGCTGTTGAAAATATGCTTGCTGATATTGCGCGGTGGGTACAGATTCGTTCAGAGTCCCCTGCGCATGCTTTGGCGGAGGGGGTGGTGTACTATCGGCAAAAGCCCCTCTGCTGAGCAAAGACTTTTGAACCTGAGGAGGCAACGGCTGCGGATGTCTCAACGGGGGTTGCAGGTGGCCGTAAAGAGGTCCATTCATCAACGATGGATCTTGTTGCCTGACCTGGTGGGCCATGCCTTCGGCGTTGCCATGCTGAGAGAAGGCCCATTGCTGTGGAGTTCCATCTGGAGCAACTGGGAAACCGGGCGGGTGTTGATAGCTCGCCAGCGGCACCCGTTGCTGAGAATGGTGTTGTCCGTGAGGGCTTCGCGGCTGAGGGACCTCTCCAATGGTGTGATCGAGAGGCGTATGCGGTACCGGCGCAGCTGGAGCAGCCTTGACGGCAGCCTGGTTCTTCGCCTGAAGAATTGCTAATAGCGACGCGCCCTTATCTCCTCCGCTCTCTGAAGAGATGGGAACCGACGCACTTTGAGCCGCCGCAGGCTGAACTTTCAAAAGACGCTGCAACTCCATAGTTGCACCCTCTAGAGTGTCTAGGGCTGGTGTTCGTGTCGAGGCATCTGTTACCGGTTCTGTTTGCCAAACGTCGTCTTCGGCCACGAGCTCATCGTGAAGGGGGTGAGGCTGGAATTGCGCATCGTTGGGTCCTTTGACAGCGTCCCTCTTCTTTTGCTGCACAACCCATTTTTTCAAGGGCACTAAGAATGGAGCTACCATGTAAAACTTGTTGGCATTCGCAGCCGCGGCTGCGTCGTTCTGGTTTTGCGCGCCCTTCTTCCGGAAGGCAGGAAGCTCAGATAACTTGTACCACTGAATCTTACTGATCTCTTTTCTGGTTCGGGGTTGGAAATGTGTGTCCATGGGAACATTGCGGAAGACGTAAAGCCTTAGTTGCTGCTCCCGCATGGTGACCTCGATGTATTTGACATCGCGATTCTCGGGAACCAAACCAGCTGCATGCAAGTCGTATCCTGTTTCCTCGTACACTTCGCGAATGGCACATTCGAGATCGTCTTCGTCCTTGTTTATTTTCCCGCGAGGAAAGCTCCAGTTGGCGCCTTTCTTCCAACCTTTGACCAAAATTGTGGAGTCCATAGCCTCGTTGAGCAGAATTGCACCTCTCACAGGGACTCTCGTCTTGTATTGCAAAAACTCTTCGAAGGCTTTCGTGTGATTCTCGACCGAGAAGGGAGCGAGGAGGGGACAGTGCTGAAATATCCTTAGACTAAAGCTTCGGAGCGTCATAGAGGGCAGGGTCGGGTCGAGCGGGCGGACGAAATCTTCGTAGAACCATTGTGCCTCCTCGATCTGAAAGCATATGCGTGCAACCGACGACAAATCTTCTTCGGGAAGGTTGATAATGAATCGGACACAGAGGTCGTCCAACCCTGTTCAGTTATGATACTTCGTCAGTCCCGTTTCTGGCAGTGGTGATGGAGCGGTAAGGAAGGCAGGCTCGGTAGCTGACGCCACGGTTATTCGGGGTGTGGGGTAACGTACAGTCCTCCAGCTGCATCTTTTCTTCGGCCATTGTGGGCGACGGCCTAGACCATATCCCTGGAAAAGTAAACCCTGGTCTTAATCGCCTATGCTAGGAGGTTTGATCGGGATGGAAAGAGGCTCCTGGCGGCGAGTATGTATCGAATACAGGGCGAGGAGCGGCAGTGGCATGTTACGAGGTAGGAGGTTTGATGGGTTGCAGATCAGGCTCAGGCTCGAAGCTTCACGCTTGCGACCGGAATGCGCCCTGCGACTGGAATCGGTAACGGCAGAAAGTAACACGTCAAGTGAAGAGTGGCATTGGGTACCTCGCACTTTCAATCGTGGAAGCAGCCTCTTGGTTGTTGGTTGCAGTGTTGCCGATTAGCAGAGGCGGAGAAGCAAGCGACACTCTGCTCTTTGTTGACGATGGGTGAGGTGGCCAGCCAGTCAGATAGCGAGGAAGCACCTGTGGCATCCGCGACCAGGCGCAAGAACACCAATTAGCCACGCCGGTGGAGGTAGGTGGGACGGACGTGGCAGATATTGTGTGGCGGAAAGCTCGAGCGAGGGACCTACATGATTGGCTCGTAGGGCCAACCTTGCTCGAACAACGCGTCACACTGTCTTTTGCATGAGGCTCCTCATGCCAAGATAGTGCATTTAGGTACATGCGCACTGTGCCACAGCCCTTCTCGAGACTTCAGATCACCATCTTCTATCCGGTCTACACTGGTTTCCCTTGTCAAATGGCGGGCTGCCTCCGACTGTGCATGGGCTAAGCAGTAGACACAGCAGGTGTATCCTTTGATCTTTCAACATTTGATCATGAAATCTGGCCTGGATTGCATGTGAGAGGGTGACGACAGGGACTTGAGACGATCTGGAGTTCCCAAGCCACAATGTGGCTGAGTAGAGTCTCGACCTCACTTCGGTTGCCACACTTGCGCGCTCTCTTCAATGCCATTTGGACGTCCCGGTGCAACGGACACCGCTGAATTGCCCAGTAATGGTCATTTGGGTCGCATGCTTACTGGGGACCGTACAGCGAAGGCGCTGCAGCATGATGTGAAACACCGCAGCTAGCTTGCTCTAGCTCCACTGCAGAGGCCTCTCGGGACTGCTGAAAGTGCATTGGCGTTCAGTGACCGACATGATTACATCATGGCCGTGGTTTGGTCCCCTGACTTGTCAAAACAGGAATTCTGGGCGCCCTCAACCACCTTACGTCGAAAGGCAACTTGGGTCGTGACAGGGACTCGGACCCTGCATGCATATCCTTTTCTCAGTTCCAGTGCTCGTTTGAATACATATACTCCAGCCTTCAACTTCTTGGAAGGCTTTACTGTTCCCCACCCTTCGTCCCGATGTAAACTTATTTCACACGGCAAACGTCGAGTTTCCTGTAGGAAATATCAGCGCCATTCGTGCTTTTCAGAACCAAGAACTTTACCAATCAGCACCTTTCTTGCCCGCGCAGTCGCCTCCAAACGCAGTCATGGCTAGTCTCATCGCCAAGTGGGTGAGCAAGAAGATCTTGGCGGAAAAGGTTGAGAACAAGTTTGGTCGCGAAGTACGTAACGGCGAATGTTAAATGAACTTCCACAAGTGCACTGTACTGACGTCTCAACCCCTCAGGATCCCTACTTCGAGACCGTTCCGGCTACCAGACTTGATGGTCGTCCCACCAAGAAAGTCAAAAAGCGCAGAAAGGCCCTCCCGCCGGGAATATCCGCCAAAGACGGAGAAGTCTTGACCAAGGTCAAGCGGCGAGCCTATCGCCTCGACATGTCGCTATTCAGCCTCTGCGGTGTCCGCTTCGGTTGGAGCAGCGTCATCGGAATCGTTCCTGCGTGAGTACCCTACACCGCCCTGCACATGCCCCACATCCCTACTTGGCACGTAAGGTATCTTCAACGGCGACTAACACCATGCTAACAGTATTGGTGATGCTCTCGACGCATTCATGGCCTTGATGGTGTTCAAGACCTGCAATAAAATTGAGGGTGGGCTGCCGGGTTCGCTCAAGTCCAAGATGCTGTTTAACATCATTGTGGACTTTGCCATTGGCCTGGTACCCTTCATTGGTGATATTGCCGACGCCGCTTTCCGCTGCAACACCAAGAATGCCATCCTCCTGGAAGACTATCTTCGCGAACAAGGCAAGAAGAATCTTCGACGGAGTGGAGCGCCCGTACCCGCAGTTGATCCCAGCGAAGCAGATGAGTTTGATCGCTGGGATGATGACCGCACACCACCCGAGTATGTCGAAGAGGAACCGCGCCGTCATGGAAACATGTCATCAGGTCGTGGCGGAAGCCGCCAACACTCGTATAACGGACGCGCCCCAGCTGCACCTGCTCCGGTTAAGACACGCGACGACCGGTCTGGCGGTGGCCGTGGTTGGTTTGGGTTTGGTCGATCGAGAGTGGAGGATGAGGAGACGGGCTATGCTGGCCGTGACCCCGGAGACAGGTCTTCTCGGCGTTGAAGTCTCAACCAGAAGTCGTGGCATCCAGAGGCCTAGAAGGGATGGCATCAGTAGGCAGGAAGACTTTAGTCATGAAGTGCCCTAGCGATTGGTTATACGGATTTTATTTCTCTTTTGGCTCGAGCTGGGCCAGAACCCGGCGTTCTCGCTAGCTGATGGTCACGCGCACACACAAGATACGAACTGGATGGTGAGATGCAAGCACGACACGATACCTTAGTTACATACCCACTTCACGATAGTAGGGCCGCTTTAGATAATTGACACAGCGCGTCGTTTTATAGAAGAGTGAACGCTTTAACGTAGTACGTAACACTTGGACTGTCCAGAAATGAGCAATCAAGCCGGGCCGCCCGTCCGTGCCCGCAGGCGGATGGGCCAGCCTCCCAGCGACGACGAGCAGAATTAACCGCGTCGACCTGCAATCAAGAATCATATGCCGGCGAGATTTGTCGATGCTTAGACAGAATTGCAGGGCGGTAAATCTTGGGAGGGCCACTTCGTCCCGCCCAAGCCCTGGGTCCTGGACGGATTAGGTGTTATCTGATCTGATCTGATAACCTAAGGGGAGTTCCAGACCAGGAGACCGAGAAACGTGTTGGTTCGTAACGCCGAGAACGAACATAGAACGAGTCGATGCGGAATTACGGATACGGGAATATTGGCACAGGACCGGGGGGGGGGGGGGGGGGGGGGGTGGCCCGGGCTGACGGGAGCAATAAGGGAAAACTGGCACGCGTTTGCTCGGCCGAAGCCCTCGGTAGGAGTGGTCTGGCATGCCGTGACGCCGTCCATTTCCTCCCAGTTGCCCCGGTCATGACATCGTTGCCTGGTCGGCTCGCTGGGGGTGGAACGCATGCGGCCACTCGAACGACGAAGCACGTTACAAATGGCTAGGTACGATGAAGAAAAAAGAGGGAAAAAGAGGGCTGGGCAAGACGCGTCCCGCTGGGAGCCGTCGGTCGTCACTTTTCTTGCAAGGGTGAGAAGTGGAAAAGTGCCAGCCGAGACAGAATCCTGCCACTTTAGCAGCGAAACGCGCTGGCGATCGCTGGCCTACCCCTGTTTGACGCGCTTTTAAGTGGAGCGAGGGGCAACGATCGTAGTCAGTGAAGGACCCAAAGCTGCCAGAGGTCCCGGCGCAAAGCAATTAGACCCAAAACCCGCAAAACACGAACGCGGGACCCCCTGCACCTAGCGACGCGTTTTCCACCACACGTGCTGCCCGGTCGTCTGGTACAAAAGCCTTTCAAAAGTCACCCACTGACATCGCGTCTACTTCTTTTCACACTCAACGAGAAAACACAACAACGCTTCATACGACCGCCGATATCCTCAATTCTTTCTCGCAGTCTTTTTTCTGGGTTTTCAATTCACCCATTCTTCAACGCTTACTTCCCCCTCTCGTCCGCGCAACCCTCGCAATGTCTGTTGAAGTCACTCCTTCCAAGCAGGTACGTCACGACTTGCGCTCTGGCGCACAACCGCAACCGCTACTTTACTTTGTCACAATGTGCGCGTATATGGATTTTAATGAACTAACAACTCAAATTCCAGGCTGCCGCCGCTCTCGATTCTTTCAAGATGGAGTCCCCCGTCAAGAAGCTCAACTTCAACAACGCCGACAAGGAGAACCAGCCCATCAGCTCTGACGTTGCCACCGCAACCGACATTCAAACCAAGCCCACTGAGGAGTCCACGAAGCAGCAAGAAGCGCCTGTCGTCGCCCCTGGCATCAAGGAGGAGGAGATGGACGAGCCTCTTCTCCAGGAGAACGGCCAACGCTTCGTTCTCTTCCCCATCAAGTACCATGAGGTCAGTCACAATACCACGCGTAATTGACGCGTAAAGTGGTTTTTCTCTCGAGAACCTTAATTTAACTCGTGACGCATAGATTTGGCAAATGTACAAGAAGGCCGAGGCCTCTTTCTGGACTGCTGAGGAGATTGATTTGTCCAAGGATCTCCACGACTGGAACAACAAGATCAACGATGATGAGAAGTACTTCATCTCTCACATTCTCGCCTTCTTCGCCGCTTCCGACGGCATCGTCAATGAGAACCTGGTTGAGCGTTTCTCTGGCGAAGTCCAGGTCCCCGAGGCGCGCTGCTTCTACGGCTTCCAGATCATGATGGAGAACATTCACTCCGAGACTTACTCCCTTCTCATCGACACCTACATTAAGGAGCCTGCCCAGCGTACCTATCTCTTCAACGCCATCGACACCATCCCCTGCATCCGTAAGAAGGCTGACTGGGCCTTGCGCTGGATCACGGACACAAAGTCCACCTTCGCCCAGCGCCTCGTTGCCTTTGCCGCCGTCGAGGGCATCTTCTTCAGCGGTGCTTTCGCCTCCATCTTCTGGCTCAAGAAGCGTGGTCTCATGCCCGGTCTGACCTTCTCCAACGAGCTCATCTCCCGTGATGAGGGTCTCCACACCGACTTTGCCTGCCTTCTGTACTCTCACCTGAAGCACCGCCCCAGCAAGCAGGTGATTGAGGATATTATCGTCGATGCTGTCAAGATCGAGCAAGAGTTCCTGACCGAGGCTCTGCCTTGCGCCCTCCTGGGCATGAACTCCAACCTGATGAAGCAATACATCGAGTTCGTCGCTGATCGTCTGTTGGTCGCTCTCGGCAACGACAAGGTCTACAAATCGACCAACCCCTTCGACTTCATGGAGAACATCTCTCTTGGTGGCAAGACCAACTTCTTTGAGAAGCGTGTCGCTGACTACCAGAAGGCCGGTGTCATGAACAGTGCTAAGAAGTACCAGGATGAGTCTGCCGGCTCTTCCGAGGAGAAGGGTGAGAATGGCGGCGACTTCTGCTTTGACGAGGACTTCTGAACTGGAGCGTGCGAAGTCGTTTATGTCCTTTTTCTTCCCTCTTATACCCTTGTACATTGCATTCGCGTGGTACTTGCCACAGCGATTTGTTTTCGCACTCCATCGCCTCTCTAATGAGTTTCGGCATAGAGTCGTTTGTTTTATCATATACATACACGGCGTTAGCGGGGGACACATTACACCTGGGAGTTGGATGCTCCCACGGGCTAGGTGGTTGGATGACGGTGGAAAATAGGGGGCATGGATGTCTTTGATGGATAATGTATTGGCGAGCACTATTTTCAGTAATTCAGACACGACAAACGAACAGATCCATTCATCGCACGTGACGGAAATGAAGGCTCTTTATTCGCCAGCCTTCTTTGACTTTCACTGATTGCTCTATCAGAACTCAGTCTGGGCCAAATGGATCGGTGTATCTCTTTGAAGCCCCCAACGCTTTTGTGTGTGTCTGTCAATTGCCATTTTCAACACGTCCACAGCCATGTATCATGAGCAACACGGTTCTGGCATACCTATCATTGCGTGTGCGGTCCCTGTATGCCATCTGTCGTTTTCTTATTTCTTGCCCTTCTTCTTCTTCTTTCCACCACTGCCACCCGCAGCTTGTTGAGGCTTCTCCTGCGCGCCACTCTTCAACTCAGCCGAGCCCACGCCCTTCTCCTCAGCAGGTGTATCAGCCACGGCTTCATCCTTGACCTCCGCGGGGGCCTTGGATGTCGCCATGGTGCGGCCCAGGGAGCCCAGCAAATTGATGAGACGTGTGACTTCAGCAGCCTTGGTCGTCCTGTACTTGAGCGCGACACCGCTGACGGGGTCGTATGTCTTGATCTCGAGGCTGCCCCTTGGTGGCTTGGCGGTCGCCGCGTCAGGCATCGTGCTGTCCTGCTCGTCGTCCGCCTTTGATTTTCTAGGCTTGACGTCCTTTATCGAGTATTTGGTTGTGATTCTAGTCTATGCGGTCGATGGTCGCGCAACGCGACACGGGTTAGTCGGGGCTGTCTGCAAGACTTGGAATGTAGAGCAGGGGAAGGGCCTCACGGTTGCTGGACGAGCTTGGAGGAGCAGCGATGACTGCTGCAGCCATTCCTGGCTGTTCTTGTATGTCGGCATCGTCGCGAGAGGGCGGCCAGAGCCTTGCACTGTACCGAGATGTGCGCGAATTCGGTCGCTATATTCGTCTCTCCAACGCGACCTAGGTACCTCTTTATGCTCGCGTGTCGTCTCGCGGTTTCGGCGGCTGTTCGCTAGATGTCGTGGGATTGTGTGTGTGTGGTTGAGTGACGTTCGTTGATGTGGACTAGCCGCGGGCGGTGGAGGATTGAATTTTGGTGGGGTCCAGCTAGGTAACCTGAGGTAGGTAGCTGCGGTCAATCCACACTGAGGCCATGGGTGGCCGTGATGAGGGGCAAGTCTAAACAGCACGTCACTGCTGCGAACCTGGGTCTCCAAGCCAGAAACTTGGCAAATGTTATTTGATTCGAGGATAGTGAGTAAATGAAGCGTATCCATATTCACATTGCGTTCAGTCGTATTTACGATAATTCTTGGCACGGAATTGTCTGAGTTGGGTATCTTGTCTTTTAAACTCCGAAAATGCTTGTCCCGGTCAACGCCGCCAGCTTGCAGTACTTCCTAACAACTCTGAACCATACCTTCCATCCTATTGGGGCGGGTCAGGCAGCCAGAAGACAACTTCCTGGTCAGCCGTCGCGAAGAAGTTGTACCGAGGGTTGAATGCCAGCACTGCCGCCTCTCGCTTGTCCTCCAAAGTCCAGGCGGGGTTGAGAGTCTTGGTTTCGTTCGGCGGCGCCAAGGTATCCCATACCAAGACATCCTTTTTGGTACCACTGAGCACAAATCTACCATCCAGCGAGAAGCAACATTCACCGCTGCTCTCCGCCGTGGCAGGATCAATTCTCGAAACACCATTGTAAGTAGCATTTACGCCTTCACCCGCAGCCAATCGTCGAGTGCCGCCTTCAGGCTTGCGGAGATAGGCCTTCAGGCTGCCATCAAAAGCATCGATGAGGAAGTGGCCACTCCCACGCGTGCCGACAAGCACGTGCTTTCCATCGTTCGAGAACTCCAGTTTAGTCCAGCCCCTAATCACAAATTGGGGGTCTACGTGTCTGCCCACATCGACCAGGTCGAAAGTCGCGAAGGGCGCCTTGTCGTAGTTGCGACAGTCGTACAGCAACACACTTCCGCTACTTGGAGAAGCGACTGCGAAAGTTTGTCCCGAGGGATCGTATGCGGCAAGGTATGGCGTATGGAGGAAAAGCTGGCCGCACCACTGCTTTGTGGATACATCCCACAGGCGGACTGTGTTATCCTGGCTGCAGGAGATGAAGTTATCAGCTCCCGGGTGCACTGCAATATCTGTCACACTCTTCTCGTGGCCCTCGAAGTATCTGATGAAGGAGTTGTCGTGGGTGGCAAGGTAGCGAATCTGGTCTATTTCGACTGTCAGCGTCTCCAGCCCTCCCTACCGTTACTCAAATCCTTCTCACCATTCTGTTTTGTGCTCGCATAAAGAATGCTCGAACTTGTATGGGTGAACTTTGCCAGCTTTACGCCATATTTCTTGCTTAAGAGACTCTTTTCATGCCGTCCCTCCTTCACATTGTAGATCTGAATGGTCTCGTCGCTTTCGGATGTCATCAGAAGCTCACCCGGATCGTCGAAGTCAAGCGAGAGAACATGAGGTTGCGGCCGACCGTCTTTGATGTCGTCCCTCTTGAATAACTGGAAGGAGGTGTAAGCGCCACCCGTTTCTGAATGATTGAGGGGTCACGGGACCTGCCTACCTTTGTAGGACGAAACGTCGAGACAACATCGCTCAATTGAGAAGTGTTATTTGCGTTCAGCGATCGCGTGATATTCAGCGAAGTTCCATTGGCAGGAGTAGAGTCCCGGTAGTCCAGATCCATGGGTGTCGAAGCCATGACGAATTGCCGGCTCTTTCAGTGCAATTGGCGTTGTGGCGGTGGGCAGCAGCGTCGCAGATCGAGCTTGTCAAGCTGCCCTAGGTTCGTTGACCCGGAGGCTTCAATGCCTTGGGTTGGCTTGGGAAACGACAACTCCGATCAGAGCCAAACTCTGGAGTTTTTGGTGGGTTTGTCGCAAGAAGGCGCGTGGACTGTTGGTGAACGCGGCGCCAGAGCAATGCGGATGCAGAAGACGCGATTGCGGCTGCGGCTACGAGGAAATTGGAAGCTCCAAGAGTTGGCGGGGCAAGGAGCTTCCAGGGGGGTCTGTGATGTCCTTGCTCTGTAGGTACGTACCTCGACTCATATCAGCCACGTCCTAACACCACGCGCGGCCGTAAAGCTAGCACAGAAGAATCCCCTAGCAAAGCTAGCAAGCCACGCCAGGCCAGTTGGCCCACAGAGTGCAACGACCTGCGATGACGACCGACTCTGCATTGCAAACTGCCTCACTGGCAATGGGCCAGCTAAAGCAACGCCCCCATTTCCGCCAGGATCCGGGGTACCGGTTTAGGCCGCTGCTGTCCGCCAACCCTGCCAATTGGCAGCTCCGAACGCCGGGATCGGCAATGGCTATCCACGGCCGTCGTCGCTGGACAAGAAAAATTCCCGTTTTCTCTTCCGCGCGCGGAGCTTAGTGAGATATGTACCCTACCTGCGACCCCCAGCAGCCCAAGAGTCAATTCGTCCTGTCTGGTGCCAACCCGACCTGTCCATATCATCATCGTGCATTGCGACTTTGTTGACTCAAAAAGTGCGCGACAACCTGGTGTTGGGCTCTGGCTAGAAGGAGTGAATATGTAAGACCTGCTCGCCGCTTGACTGCCTCGTTTCTGCTTCTGCGTTGTTTGGCCGGGCGTCAACCCACCGTGGTAGATTTCCAGCTGTTCCTTCGCGTTGCTAACCCCCATCGTGCCGTCTCCAGGTCCTAAGGTTCCGAACGGTGTCACTCTTTTACTACAATTTACCGACAACCCCGATCGCCATTGCAAATGCGATCAGCTTCACCTGCTTGATACCCTTTTATATTCTTATTCGCGCAGCAAGACCGGCGCAATGTCGACAACCTTAGGGCAAGTTGCGGCCCGCAGACCGGCAATCCGCGATATGGCGCAGCTAACCATCGAAACAGCGCCTTCATCGCCGGCGGCATTGCCGCCTGCGGTGCCGTAACGGCTACACATCCCTTTGAGACTGTCAAAATTCGGTTCGTCCCGGCGCTGCTTGCCCTCCCCCCCATGTTGGCGCTGCCGCAGTGCGCTGACCCCTCTTCGACGACATCTAGAATGCAATTGCAAGGAGAATTGAAGGACAAGGGACATCAACCCCATCAGTACCGCGGGCCTCTGCAGGGTGTATCTGTCATTGTCAGGAATGAGGGCGTTCGGGGCATCTACCGTGGTATCGGCTGCGCGTACGTCTACCAGGTCCTGCTAAACGGTTGCCGTCTAGGCTTTTACGAGCCCATGCGCCACGGTCTCGCCTCCTTGATCTACAATGATGGCAGTAAGCAAAGCTTGGGTATCAACATGTTCTGCGGTGCTGGATCGGGAATAATGGGAGCTGCTGCCGGTAGCCCCTTCTTCCTTGTAAAGACCCGGTTACAGAGTTTCTCTCCTTTCCTACCCGTCGGCACACAGCACAAATACCGCAACGCTTGGAACGGCCTCAGTTCGATCTACCACAACGAGGGAGTTCGCGGTCTCTACCGCGGAGTTGGCGCCGCCATGATTAGAACCGGTTTCGGAAGCTCTGTCCAGTTGCCCACCTACTTCTTTGCCAAGAGGAGATTAGTCCGCCATCTGGGCATGGAAGAGGGCCTTCCTCTGCACCTTGCCAGCAGTACTGTCAGCGGTTTCGTTGTTTGCTGCGTAATGCATCCTCCTGGTATGCGATCGTTCGATGATGAATATTATTGAATGAGTTTTACTGATGTTCACCGACAGACACAATCATGTCCCGCCTGTACAACCAAAACGGAAATCTGTACAAAGGAGTTTTTGACTGCCTGTCCAAGACCGTCCGCACCGAGGGACTGTTCGCCATTTACAAGGGATTCCTGCCTCACCTGGCCAGAATTCTCCCCCACACCATCTTGACCCTGACCTTGGCCGAGCAAACGAACAAGCTGATTAGGAAGCTCGAAGATCGCATCCTGCCTACGACCGCCCTGCAAAACCCGTGATTGAAAACCGATCTTGTACTTACTGAATCAGCGTTTGCATGTATGGAGTTCAAAAGAGCTGGATAGACTTGATGGACTCGTCATGGCCGGGGATGGCTGGGGTTCAGGAAAGCGGCAGGGAATAGGCCAAGCTCTGAGAAGGGGACGTGGGGATGTCTCTCTGTTTGATCTACCCATATATAGACCGTTCGCACCCGTAACATAATCGTCCTGCAGTTTCCTTGCGCCTCACATCATCCGGATCCTCGCCAATCTCTCCCTTCCACCTGGCGTAGCCATGCTCGTCCAGATCCATTCCGCAGAGTGCACACGTATCCCCGGCATTCTCTCGTATGAGCTTGCCAGTGGTGCGAACGACATTGGCGACAACCGATGGGTAGCTTTCTTCCACCTCTTCGAAATACCGGGTCATGACGTCCTCGATGCTTAATTCTCTATGCGACACGATAGTGCTGCTACTCGAACCCGCGTCTTGAATCAGCTCCCTGATCGGTGGTTGGACGAGTCCAGTATACGTAGTCACTTCCCGCTTGAAAACATCTCTCAATAGGTAATAGACGGGGAACGTCGTCTTCTGAGTTCCGCTGGCTGGCTGGCCTTCTTCCGACTGCTCCTTCGAGCGTGGAAACGTCGTGATGGGAACTTGTCCGTCATTCACTTGCAAGGGCACCGCAAAACCCCTCCCTTTCGCCGTCTCCGCCAGTGTCAGTTCGGCCAAGGCGGTTGTCGTGCAGCCAAGAAGCAGCGCGTGGCATTCCTTGTCTATGGCCAGCGACAGCAACAGATGCCGCACGAGCAGCCTCAAGATGTCCACCCTCGACGTCACAGATGGCAGCGCTTCGAGCATGGCTCTGACCTGCTGCGAGGGCTCGAGGTCCTTCTGCAGAGCCGGTAGTACAGACCAGTCTATCGTATCTAGCCTGAGAGCGTCACTCAGTGGCACGCATTGCATGGACAGGTTTGGAAATCTTTCCTCGTACTTGTCCAGCAATTGGCTCGCGGGGGACTTTGCCGATGACTGCGAAGTGCCCGATAGGTCCGTGTCGATGTGGATGGCGTGCACCTCATAGGCGACGCGCAACTTTCTGTCATGGAGGCTCTGGAGGTTCTTGTCCAGCACCTGTACCATGGCCGCAGACGAATACCCGAAGGAGAGACCGAGGAGGTACTTTCCTTTGGCGTTTGGCTTGTTTCCGATCTTCTCCTTGGCCTCCTTCCATGGCTTGCCAAGAGCCTTTACCACTCGCTGGGCAATGTGTGCCTCATAGCAGGCTCTGAGAGAACAATCAGCACGGGACGTCCAGAATGTAGTGGTGTTCAAAGTTGATAGCTTACTCGCACAGCGGGTCCTTTCTCACCGTCAGACCCGTCGGTATCTTGCATCGCCGGCAAGGTCGTGGCTCAGTGTTTCCGCTCATACTTGCGAGTTGGGCTGCGACGGAGATTGGGTTTGGCCTCGTTCGGCAGCGAAGGGGAAAAAAATTATCGGCCCGAAATGAGTGTATGACACAACAGTATTTAAGCTCGCCTATGGCCGTGTGCTCTTGTTGCGTGTTGTTGCAAATGCGACGGTATAGTTTTGGCTGTTTAATTGTGAAGAAAGATAATTCGACTTTTGGGTTCCGCCACTCAAAGTTGACTCACACAGTTTGCAGTGGGATTTTTTCCGGGCTAAGTTCTCAGAGTCCTAAGTGGCTTCTCACTTCACACCAGACGTGTGTTTGGGTTTCATCAACAAATTGAGACTACCAATAGCCAGATTAATTATTTTGCCTTTGCCTATGCTTTCCGCCACAAAATGCTCCTCGTTCATGGACATGACAATACCACCAATACATGCAAAACGCGGATGCAAGATGGCCACTTCGAACCGTGTCTTGCACAAACTAGACTCCTGCTCACGACCAATATATGAAGCGACAGAGGTCATGATGCAGCGTCCGTATCCTATCTGGAACCGACTCAAAGTTGTCGACGGGGTCCCAAATTGTTTTAGGCACCAGTTCGGTTTGAATCTCGACTAGTCAATGGCCCCGCCACCCTCGACCGCATGAAAGCTCAGCAGAAGAACCGCACACCACGAGCCGCGAGCCCTTTCATGGCTTGTGGAAGTATCATTGGCATCGCCTTGCTTTTTTTGGTTAATCTCACCCGGCTACTGTCAATTTTGCCCCATTCGGCGGGATGCTTCCCTACTTAATCGTCGCATATGGGCAGAAGTTGTTTTTTCGCTCTACATTCTTCACTATTGCCCACCGGCGAGATGGTTTTCGGTTCGTAGGTAGCAGGCATAAGGTAGGTAGGAATAGATGCACTCGCCGTCTGACTCATTCGGCGGGAGGTGCAGGTTGCAACTACCGTTTTCGGCAGTTCCAAACTCGGCTGGTTAAGAGGCACAGAGTCTCTCGCGAAGCCTTGTCTCGATTTCATTTGACGGTGTCTGGCTCGCCATCGACCAGAGTCGCGTCAACCCCTCGGGCTGCAAAATTCTCGCCTTCAATGAACAACTATCGCAAGAGAGCCTCACCCCGCTCGCTTCTGTCAACGACCACATCGACCTTCTTCTTCCCATGTTGTGAACACCAACTACGATCTGCTCTTTGCCATGGCTGCCGAAGATAACACATCTGAACGTATTCTGCGAGACATCAAGGCAGAATTGGCCAGCACACCATACAACTTCGGTTCTGCTCGACTGCTCACTGGAGGAACAGCGAATTTCATCTACCAGGCGCGCCTAAATCAACCTCTTCCTGACGGGACGTTGGAAGTGGCCATCAAGCACGGCGAAGGATTCGTCCGCCAAAGCCCAGACTTCAAGCTCACTACCTCCCCTTGCGTATGAAGCCCTCTCGTATTGTGCACTGCTTCTGACTCTAACCGCCACTCAGCGCATCGAGGAGTCTTGTCTTAAGTGCCTAGCGGCGTTTCCGCCGTACATAAACTCGGATGTCTCAGTAACCACACCGAAGTTATTCTACTTCAACAGAGACACCAACACGCAAGTGCAAGAGTACCAGCCAACCCCGCTCAGCCTCAAGCTCTACGCGATTGAGCACTTTGCACTCTTGGAACCCGCATTAGTAAGAGCTCAATGTCTCGAGATTGGTCTGGGAATTGGCCAATGGCTCCGACGATTCCACGACTGGAGCAACTCGCCGGCACAATCCAACTTGCGTGAGATTGCTTTGGCGAACAAGGACATGCAGTCTATCAAGCACTGGGCCAACTACCAGCAGCTTCCGAACGCGATGAAAAGACATCCGACGGTGTTTCGTGGTTGTGGGGACATCTTCAATGCCATCGTGGGAAAGTCGACCGAGGAGTTGGTAGACCAGAAAAGTCTCCAGGTCATCCACGGGGACTTCTGGACGGGAAAGTGCGTGATCTGGGTCAAACTTGTCAGCAGCATGCACTAATACTCGCAATAGCATTCTCTTGCAAGGGGTGCGGTGGGAATCGCGGCGTATGCATCTCTTTGTAGTAGACTGGGAGATGTTCCAGGTTGCCCTCACACCGTTGGATCTCGGTCAGATGATCGCAGAGCTTTATCAGCTGAATCTGTACAAAAACCTGGATGCTGGCATATGGTTGATTGAAGGCTTCACCAAAGGCTATGGCGATGTTGATGACAGTTTCGCCTTCAGAACGTTACTTCATGTCGGCGTGCATCTCATTGGTTTTGGAACCACTGTGCCCGATTGGGGTGATGCAGAACAGGTAGAGAAAATAGCAGTAGCAGGACGGGAAATTGTGTTAGGTGCTTGGGCGAAAAGTCGGCGGTGGTTCGACGACCACCCGCTTGGTTGCATTTTCTCTTCAGCTTAAGACGGCAGGGTCAGAGATGGACGTGTGGACATGGGTGCTCGGTCAGACGGAAGATGTAAAGGCTCTCCCTGTTCAAATGTCCACTGTGCCGTGTCTTCCACGGCCGGACACACATGCAAGACCTGAATAAAAAACAGAAGGACCGACATGAGACGGCAGTGGTTAAAAGAGAGGGTCGGCCTAGAACTAGAAGGATCAGAGTCAAGTGAGAAATGAACAGGATGTATAGTGCGCTGTAGAAGCCAAGCCACGGACGCAAGAGAGACTAACGGCCAGCCATCGGGCCGCACCGGGCTTAGGCACTAGCATCTGCCAAATCCCGGCATGATTGTAGTCGAAAGCCACGAAAGACCGGTGGCAAGCCACGGAACATGAGCTTATCTGAGCGTTTCACCGCTCTTCTGCGTTGTTTGTTTGCTTTGTGGGATGCGGTGGGGAAGAAGAGAGTAAGCGAGCGAGAACCTAGGCAATGACGGGAGAGGTTGGTATTTCCAGGGTGAGGAAAGAAGAGTGGTTCCTCTTGTACCATGAAGCGGACAGAGGCGGGAGGCCGGGATGGCACAACGTCACGATGTTTTGATGGCCGGGCCGTCCTCTCATACAGGCGTTACCCCTGAAAATGCATGCAATCCGGGCATCGAATCGATATGCATTTTGACGGCGTTATGTAGTATATGGTTTGTATAGGAAGGCACCTCTAGCGGCTTAAAAGTGGACCCTCTAGAGGCCTTCAGGGCTCCTAGGGCAGGTGGCTAGCGCTGTGGGCGCTGGAGGGCCCACTAAGGCCCCCTGTAGCCCCCCTGTAGCCCCCCTGGAGACCCCCCCAGAACCCCTTGCTGCGACCCCTCAAAAGCCATATTTCTGAGGGCTCTATGTGTTATGCAGATATGCGTTTTTTCGTGTTTTGCCCATACAAAATAAGGCGGGCAGCTCATATGTATGCATTTTGGGGTGAATATTCCGTATGAGGGCCATGCATTTTCAGGGGTAACGCCTGTACACTACATGGAATAGTCTTGGCGAGGCGCAGGAGTGCCATAGCCTATGGGTGGTCAGACAAGGGCGCGGGCCATCGGGGTTGGGAGAAGGAGGTTGAAGTAGTGCAACGAAATGAGGCTCTCTGCTCGGGGTAATTGATTGATTATGACGGCGGCGGCACGACGTGGGCATTGAAAGTGCGCAGGCTGCCTAAGCGCGCGTTCGCGCGCGCCCGGGCCCAGGCCAAGTCAAGGCGCTTAATCATGACGCCGGCTGTACAGTCGATTGATTGGAAGCGGCAAGCATCAGACATGTGAGAGCGCAAGACGCGCCGAGTCCGATGTTTAATTGGGGAGGGGTTTGGAAAGGTGGCTTACTGATGGACAGTGGCATATCATTGTCAAGGTTCCACAGCCTCTGTGCTCTCGCAAACGGACGATGCAGGGCAACCCTTAGCACAAAGCGCAAGACCCAACTGAAAGGAAATTTGGAGAATGGAAGCATGTTCGGACCATCAGAAACAACACCAATGCACGGAAAAGAACAAAACACACAGATCTCAAAACTGTTCCTCTTCTGGCGGGGTGGGTTGAAGGACAAGATGGGACGGGCATGGCACTTGGGGTACTTCAAACAGGGACTCCCGCGGACTGGCGGGTCTCGGGATCATCGATGGTTTAATTCGTTCTCCATGAGACAGAGTCCCCCCTTTTCCTCTTCCCAAAGGGTCTGGGCCCGGGGGGGAAAGACGATCCCAACCGATTTGTCCAAGAGGCTCGAATGTGAAACGGGGCGGTGCTTGTCGCTCAGTGATTCACAGTTTTCTTGGCTTCTTCTTTGCGTGTTCCACGTCCATGAGCGACGAGGTGGTGGTCAGTCAGTCTATTAGTCGTTCTACCTGCTCCTTGAAGAATAAACCAGAGAAAAAAAACAAGAAAAAAAAAAACGCTTGGGCACTTTGTGACCCGCCCGGCGGCCCCCTTGGTGGAGCTAGGCCGTTCTACAGCACACTGCAGTGTCCCAACCACCCTTTCCCCGTCTCCAAGGCCTGTCACCTTGAATCTTCTACTCTGTTTGAATCCGTTGTCAACCAGTCATGGTCGAGCTGGAGACCTGACCTGACTCCAGCGGACAACTACCCCTCACAGGTCCATGTCGAAGCAGTGAGTTGTTAATGAAGAGTGGCCCTCGAGAGTAATGCAGGCGCCGCCGTCTTCATCTCGTCAATGCCAAGTCCGCCTTCGTGGCCGCAGCAGTCCAGTCCAGTCAGCGAATTCCTACTCCGTACCTAGGTAGTGTACATTGCATTGAGGAGGCTCCATGGCCTGATTTTGTCACTCCCCACTGCCACTACCTTACCTACCTTAGGTACCAAGGTATCTTATGGGAGTACGTACCTACACTTTTCGCAGGCGGGCCTTCTTCAGATGGCGGCACTCCAGTGAACGAACCCCGTCCTTGGAACCTGCTCTGCCGTGCCTACATACGGATAGTAGGTGCCCTCCATCCATCTCCCTCCCTCCCTCTGCGCTCTGCCTGCGACATCGCTGCGCCGATCAGCGCCCCCGTCAAAGCTTAACTCGGGGGTGCCTCCTTTCATCCTTCGTACCTACGCAGTACCTACCATATAGAGTGCCTACCTTACCTAAGGCACCTACCTAAGGTAACCTACCTTAGGTAAGGTTCCTTGCATACCTAGATACGTCGAAGGAGGTATCTTTTGATTTGTTGGTTGTGCTCACGCGCAAGCAAGCAACAAGGAGGAGGTCATCGTCACTGCCCTTTGCTCTCGCTTTTTGGCTCCCCGTCACCCGTCGAGAGGGCCCGCAGCATCCGCCATGCCCTTTCTTTAGAGCATGCCTGCCCTGACCTCATCGCTACTTTCCACCACGGCCCATCCGTTTTATTAGCTTCCATTTCCCTTTCCGTCCCTCGTGTCTTTACTAGAACTTCATATTCGGACATATTATCCACGCCCAACACAACGCCATCCATTCCCACAACACGCCCAAGTACAACACTAAAACGCAGACGCTTGCCGCTTGCCGCTGGCCGCTGGCATAAATCTCCGGGCACACACACACACCGCATCTTACCAAGTACCTGATTACCTACCTCCCTCACCTCGCCTCAGGGTTGGAAGGTAGCCACATACCACTGCACCCGCATCCGCACAAATCCCTTGCTGTCTTTTGCCATTGCTCATCGCACCCGTCTCTAAAACTCGAGATTCGTCTCCTTTTCTTGGCATCCCAAGTTTCACCACTCAAATACTTCTTCACACACAGTCCCCTTCCCCTTTTCGCCATCACCATCCGTGCTAGGGACAAATAACTTCTCCTCACTCACTCTCTCGCCCACACGGCATTCTCTCACTTCCCCTCCTCTCAACACTGTGCGCAGCCTGTCTTGTCTCGTCCCGTCTCGCCTACACTCGTTTCCCATCCCACGTGTGTCCAAACGCCTGCATTCGCCTTTTGCTTTTTTAAGATACAGGTAAGGGCAGCTTGGATATCCAGACACGGCCCCTGGTTCCAGTCGTACGCTACCCTACGCTGCGGTAGCAGCACCCCCCAAACAATAAAGCCACCGACACGCGACTCCCACTCGACATCCACTTCCAGCCACCCCAACTTGTACCTCGCCCACCATCGAGATACCGCCTTCGGGTACCTTACGGTGCGGATCACCTCACGGAACACCTGGCCCGCCGCCCGATTTTTCCTGATTGCGTCTGAGTTGTGGAACGAACGCCCATCTCCCGCTCTTCTCATCCATCTGTCCGTCGTGTTTGTACGCCCGAACACCGAATGGTTCAACTATTGATGCGCGACTACACGCGATTGCCAACCCGCTTACAACCAAGATCACTCGACAAGAATTGAATTGTCGCAATGGCAATGGCGCAAACCCAAGTCCAAACACTCCCTACGCCTATCATCGACGTCTCCATACCCCCTTCCTCCATATCTCTCCCGAATGACCCCAATTCGCGGATGCGCAGTCGTCTCGCGCTGGACACTTATTCTTCGCCCGTGAACCAGAACGGCAGCTTCGAGTTTGACCGCGTCGTCAAAAGCGGTTACCTGCAGAAACGCACCCAGAAGACAAAGGTTTGTCCGAATGCCACCGCAACACGATGTGCGACACCTCTGACTGTTTCCCTAGGCCTGGAAGTCAATCTACCTTGTCCTGCGTCCTACCTCACTCTCCATCTACAGATCCGATAAGGAGGACAAGCTGCGACACAAGCTATACCTCGCCGACTTGACGGCTGTTGCCCTTTTGAAAGATCCCAAAAACAAGAGAAAGAACGTGTTTGGCATATTCTCCCCGGCTAAAAACTACCACCTCCAGGCTAGCAGTGGCAATGACGCAGAGGAATGGGTGGAACTGATCAGGAATCATGCGCGCATTGAAGAAGAGGACGGTGAGCTCCTGCTTGCTAGTCCCATTGGTGGTCGCCGACAATCCTACATGGCAGCACCAAGTAGTTCTGGGCAGGGTGCGGAAACTACCAGACCCGAGAGGCTGGCATCTAGCTCACCAGAACCATTGGAGCCCCCGGTACCACGATTTGTCGGCTCGGACCGTCGCCGCCCTTCGCAGATGGCGGATTCAGCAGGCTACTCTGGCAACGAGTTGGCGTCACACTCCGATTTCTCCGATAACGACATTCAACGCATTCAAGGCATGTCTATCGAGGATTTGGCGGTGCAATCTCCAGGCGACGGCGAAGGTCTGACATCCCGGCCTAGCCTCGGGAATCGTAACGCGAGCCAGGTCAGTGGCCTCAACTTCGACCAAGACCCGGATCGCGTCATTTGGCAAGGCTGGCTCTGGTTCCTCCGCAGCAAGGGCGGCGTCAGGCAGTGGAAAAACCTCTGGGGTGTATTGCGGCCGCGAAATTTTATTCTCTACAAGGACGAATCCGAGTATACGGCCCAGTTCATCAGGCCAATGTCAGCGATAGTCAACGTAGTCGACATCGACCCCGTGAGCAAGTCAAAAACGCACTGCCTTCAGCTCATCACTGAGGAGAAGAGTTACCGATTTTGTGCTCACGATGAGGAATCGCTGATTCACTGCCTGGGCGCCTTCAAAAGCCTCTTCGCCAAGAGGAGAGAGCTTGAGGTTCGTGCCGCAGCTTCAGAACCACTGCCGACGTCTGCGGCATGAGCCAGCATTGGCGAAATCCAGAGTTTTCTTTTCGGAGCGGGCGTTTCGCGTTGCATCATTCTTATCCACGACGCATGAAGCTACGATGTATATGGGACTTTACGGAGTCTTGGAAAATATTGTTTTTGGGAGGAAACGGCATCCAGCTGTTGCTGAGGGAACACCACCGACGGCGAAGGGAGTCTATACCGATGCGTTCTCTCTGGGGCACGAGGAGACTGTCGATGGATCCCCTTCTACCGCTGAACATGTTAGTATGTTAAGCGTACCAAGTTTACTGCGGTAGCCGGTAGCTACCGACCGTCTTCCATGAGGAAACGGACGATGAATAATGATAAAATAAACACTTCAGAAACCATACTTGGTTCTCAATCTGCCGTTGAAGGGAGTCTTGTGAAATCGGGCGCAGTTACGTCCTTGTTGATCGCCAAGAGACACAAGAACGTCGCGAAATGACTCTAATTTCTCACCTTTTGCCTTGGTCACTTGATGGTCTAGTTACCTATTGAAGACTGGGAATCATCCAGCCAGAGCCAAGCTTCACCGATCCAGCGTAGCACGTACAGGAACCACCAATGATGTTCAGGAAGTATCGTCAACTGGATAAGTCACCAAGAGCCGGCCCAAGAGTGGCACGCGCGAGAGTCTCCATTGAGGGTAGCCATCAGTGGGATGCGCGAATGAAAGGGCGCGGGGGTGGGCCAGGCCGGCCAGCACAGCACAGCTCGGTCGGGTGACGTGGGCTCTCCCCCTTCGGACGGTCCAATCGCGCGGTGGCCCGGGCGCAGCCGCGACCTTCCTCTTGTTCGTCCGTGGTGGCTGCCACCTCCACCAACCCTCCGTGTTTATCCACCTTCATTCATGCCGTCCCTAGGCGAGACATCCAATCACACGCTGTGACGGCCATGTGTCCAGCAGAGAGCTCCCCTGCCGCTTGCGGGCAAGACCTTGACGAGTGTCGAGGCACAACCGTCTTCTCGTTTCTCGTTCGCTGCCGTTTTGGACTTATTAACGTCCAACTCTTGATTGTCCCTGACTACAGCCTGCCTGAGTGAGGGATACGACCCTGCAGCTCAAATCAGCTTTCATCCGAGCCCACCTGCTCTCGAGGACTGACAGGTCGAATTCCCCATGCGCACGAGTCCACGGTTTGGAGGCGAATGTGGATGATGGCTGGCTGCCTCTATTCGTCTTCGTCTGGCCGGAGTTGCGGTCTCTGAGGTGAGTTTGGGAAGGTGGGAACAGTCGCGTGCTGTTTGCTATGTGTGCTTGGCTCTAGTGACTACGTATATCTCACCAACAACCCCCGTTCATGTGCTCCGTGTTGGACTGGCCCCAGAGTTGCGGCCCGGCTGTAAGCTCTTGTCTCCGGAAACTCTCAGCTGCCAACTCGAAGTTGGGAAGAACGTCCTTGTGGTTCGATAATACCTGTTGTAGGCCAGGCAAGACCTTCTTCAGCAGCTCCAGATGGATGCCTGAGTCTCGACTAATAATCCTCCGTTCAACCTCCATCACTCACTTGATCCCGTTTCTTTTCAACACCTGTGTTTGTATTACATGCTTTGTTCTCCATGCGCATAGGCTGCATTGGTGGCTTCAAGTTTCGAAATCTGTATTGTTACATCCCCCGAGTATCCTGGCTAGAGGCTGTATTACTGGCAAGCCCGTTGGGTCTTGTATCGAGCCCAATCACGGGGTCACCCGCCAACTTCTCGCAAAGATGAGGCTCCTGCTTCAGCTATGGGCCTTAAGCTGGCTCGTCATTCCCGCCCTCGCTCAAAAGCCGCAGACACCTCTCTTCTCAACAAGTCGCTGGATCACGGACTCCGCCAACAAACGCGTCAAGCTTCGCTGCATCAACTGGGCGGGCCACATGGAGGTCAACCTTCCAGAGGGCCTACACAAGCAGTCTATCGACTACCTGGCTGATTGGATAAAGCAAGAGGGTTTCAACTGCGTCCGTCTCACATTCTCAACTGATCACGCCTTGAACCCGGGTGTCGGGATCCGGGATTCCTTCACGAATGGTGCCAAGGCAGCAGGCGTCGCGGAGGCAGACCTCCTGAAGCTTTACGACCAGGCGGTCCAAAAGAACCCCTTCCTTGCTGAATTGAACATCACGCAGCGTGATGTATTTGCACGCGTCATTGACGTCCTCTGGGAGCGAGACATCATGACGATCCTCGACAACCACGTCAGCAAAGCAAGCTGGTGCTGTAACCTCGACGACGGAAACGGGTGGTGGAAGGACGCCAGGTTCTACTGGGCCGCCAACAGTCGCTACTTTGATACGAACGAGTGGCTCGCGGGACTGCAGCAAGTGTCGATGTGGGCTTCCACGAGACCGGGCGTCATCGCCATATCGATTCGCAACGAGCTCCGCGCGACATGGACCCAGATCCCCTTTGCCGCCGACCAGTGGTACGGTTACGTGACCCGCGGGGCCAAGGCGGTCCATGAGGCGAATGCGGACGTGCTCGTCATCATCGGCGGCCTCAACTCGGCCACCGATTTCTCACCCCTGCATACAAAGACGCTAGACACGTCGGCTTGGAAGGGGAAGAACGTTTGGGAGGCGCATAGCTACAGCTTCACCGTCACGACGCCCAACTTTGGAGACTGCAATGTCGAGCGCACAGAGTACGGCGCCCTGTTTGGGTTTGTGCTGGAGCAGGGTGAAGGCTACACCGGCCCGTTGTTCTTGTCCGAGTTTGGCGTGGGCATGAGTGGCGGCCCAGAGGACGGGTTATCGGCCGACGACCACGCCTATTTGACCTGCCTTGTTGGGTATCTGGAGGGGAACGATGCGGACTGGGCACTGTGGGCGATTCAGGGGACATACTACGTGCGGAACAAAGTCGTCGATTTCAACGAGACGTGGGGGGCGATGGACAGTGACTGGAAGGGATGGAGAAACCCACTAGTCAAAGGCTTATTGGGCAATATCTTTTCCCTGACACAGGGCCCGTAGAATAGTTTCTGGACGGATGACAGGAATCGAAGCGTCTCCTGACAGGTTTATGCATATAGCCACGAGGCTCCTAATGGTTCCCCTATTATCTTTAATACCTGTCTCGCCTCTTGTCATGTCGTCATCTGATTATCGGGGCAAGAGTTCGTTCTCATGGAAGTCAACCAGTCTGTGCAAAAGCAGATCGGAATTCAAGATTTTCACAGAATTCGACACAATGAGATGAAGGCTGCTCAGGGTCGACGGGTGAGTCCGAGAAGCGGATATTTATCAGTATTTGGGTATCAAACATCTGCCACCTCAGTTATGAGTATCTATAATTTACAGCCACTTGGGCGCGGGGTACTCTATGATGCCGCCTCCTTCACTTCCTCAGACTGGTCGGCTTTTCCCTCCACCTCGGCCTCCTTATCTTGCGCAGGCTCTTCGGCTTGCGGTACATCAGACGGTACGTCAGTCATGGGTGCATCGGCGTCAGCCTCGGCCGCCTCGTCCGCTACAGGCTTATCTCCATCACCAGCTTGGCCGTTGGCAACATGTTCCTCTTGCGTGCTGTAGATGTAACCCTCAAAACTCTTGAAGGTTGACTCAAGATCCTCATTCGTCAGAACCAAGTCGAAGCCCTCTTTGACATTTGACTCCGTGTCAAAATAGGGGGCAGACTTAGAGAGGATGTTTCGTACATCGTCTCTGTGCTTGCCAGATTTCTTCAACCGCTCTTCCAAAACCTCGTTACTAGGTGGTAGCAGGAGAACAAACCGAGCCGCGAAGCCGAGGTCCTGGACCTGTTGAACAGCCTGTGAAATGATTAGAAACGTTCGAAGACAAGGATGGCGGTGACGTTTTACCTCGCTATCCATGTGCATTATCGGGACCTTTCCTCCCTCGACAACGGTCTCTACAGCCTTCCTGCTCGTACCATAGTCCACGTCACCGACAGTCGTGAACTCCAGCAACGCATCGCCGTCTCTCATCATGTTGAAGGCCTGCGCGTCCACAAAGTGAAAGTGTTGGCCTCCCACCTCGCCTTCTCGCGCCTTTCTGGTGGTGTGTTGAGGCACTCGTGTAAACGATCCAGGATGCTTCTCAGCCAATAGGCCAAAGATAGATGCCATACCAGCTCCTGGTGGCCCTGATATGATGATGGGCCGCTTGTCTGCTGGCATTTCGTCGCTATTGGGGGCCTCTTCCGCAGCTATATCGGCCTCATCTGCATCAACAGGCTCCTCGAATATAGCATCGATCTTGTCTGGGTCATCAATGTTGTCAAACAAAGTTAGCCTTGTCTTGCTTGCTATTCTGAGAGCTCGCCAACTCTTGCTAGCTTTGCTCTCGACGGCAGCGGCCTTTGTTTGGTTGTTCGTGGGCATCTCGATCTCGAAGTCATCGTCAGCTATCTTCCTTTTGAACCCCTCCAGCTCCGGCAAGCTGTATCTCTCCTCGGCCTTGAGTTTCTGCATCGCCGTCTCCTCATTGCCCTCCTCGAGGAAGCCAAGGGGCAAAGAACCCATTGGTATGGATCTCAGACGCTTCTTCGTAGCTGTGCGCTGTGAGCCTTTCTTCGCCTCGAGAAATGTCTCAGGAGACACTGGCGGCAGCTCTATCGATGGGCAGTTCTCTGATTTCCACCGAATCCAATTCTTATCTCTAGCGAGAACAGTCTCAACAACACGGCTGAAGTACGGGCCGTCAGTCCCATGCTTGAGGTACTTCTCGACGATGACCCTCTTCGTCTCCGTCGCCCATTTCGTCTGCCACGCGTTAGTAGCTTTCCTGAGCCTTGGATTCGGGTAACCAAGAGTTACTAACATCTTCGTCGCTAAGAACTTGGCCCACGTAGATGACCGACTTATTCTGCGCATTGCCGGCTAGTTTCTCCTTCACTTTGCTAGACAAGGATAGAAGGAAGTCCATGACGATCAGAGACTGAACGAGGATGTGTCTTCTAAACGATATATCGCTCATCTGCGCGAAGCAATGAGCACGATTTCTGCCCCATCGAAGCGCCGAAACATACCTCTAGCTCGAATAAATCCCGACTGGTCAGGTACTTTGGGTTGTATGAATTTGCCAGGTCACCCTCTTCTGCGTCTTCTCGTTTCCGCTTCAAGCTTCGCTGGGCCTCATCTACTGCCTTGGGCGGTCTTTGGCCCTGCTCGGCTTGAATCGCTCGGAAGGAGGTCATGGTCGCCTCCAAGCCGCGCTTGAAACTTGCCAGGTTATCTGGTTCAAAGAGCTTCTTTGGTTGGCTGAATGTCTCTTGGAGAGACCAGAAAAGAGGGTACAACACATCTGGGTCGAGTGGCTGATCGGCTTGGACTGGTTTTTTGGCATCAAACGAGACAGCCTTCGTCTGGGATTTCGCGTCCACATCGGCAACCTCCTTGGGCGGGTCCACGTCCATCTGACCGGCAGCGTCGTCGTCCTTGGCGCCGAGGTCATCGTAAACAGTCACGTTCTCAACATGGTATTCGCCTCGCAAGTTTACGGAGCTTTTGTCGCCAAGAGGAAAGCTCTGAAACATGAAGATAAACACCCGTCCGCAAAATGCCGTGTCCTCCGCGCGAGAAAGACGGCGCAGAAGCTCATTACAGCTGCGCAGAATGACCAACTGTTTTTGTTTGAAGTGCTTGACAGTGATCCTTTCTCGCCTCGATTCGAGGAAATCAAATATCTTCCGGCATCCGGCAATAGTTTGGCTGTCCAACAGCTCCTCCACCAACCAGAACAATAACGCGGGATCGCATTTCTCTTCGTCGGAAAGTATGATGAGCAAATCAAAAAGATTCCAGACCTTAACGAAATCCGGAGATTCGATCGGTGTTGTAGCCTGTCGGCAACGGCCGCTCGTTAGCTTTGACTCCAGGATTGCTTATGAAGTTGATGTACAATTAGGTTGCTGAACATGTCCCGCACAGCAGTCTCAATTATGGCGAATTGCTGCGCCTTGCTCTGGGCGCCGGTAGTGGGTGCATCTTCCTCTCCGGCAGGCTGCGAGATCTCCAGCACATAGCCAAGCTGGTTGTCAAGATCGCCAAAGTCTGCTTTGTGCAGTGCGGGTTCGATTGCGGGCGTGGACTTGACCTCCGTTGACCGGGCCAACAGACTTTCCAGCAGTTTTGCGAAGGAAACAACTCCAGGCACCTCATGTCGGTGCGACGCAACGGCGGCCGGCATCTCGAGATTCGCGTGGCAGATAGTGCTCGGATCAGAAGCTGCGGATGAAATCGATGGCGCGTGCCATTCGCAAGGAAGTACCACCTGAATGTGATTGTCCTAGGTTCGTGTGGATATGGGTGGTGGAAATTGTTGGTGTATGTACGTTAGTTGACAGCGGTGATGTTCGCGCAAGGCTGAGAAGTGAAAGAGCTGCACACCTTCAAGGATCGATTGTTCAGAGCACAGGTAATAGGTATCGCAGTGGAAACAAACACACGGTGCAGTGAAGCAGAGACGCTAATGGCCCGTCGCGGTCCCGTGCGCGTACACTGTATCGGGCATCCGCTAAAGTTGAGGCTCTGTAAGGTACCTTAGGCACACCTATCTAACGGAACTTTCCAACTGGCCTGGCCCAGCAGGTACTTTTAGGTGCCTCCAGCCAGTCAGCAGGGTAAGGATCGCGTCGCGTGGAGGATTTGGAAACGGGCATCCATGGAGGAACTGCCAGAAATGCAAGGCTGAAATTTTTGGAGCTCTCAGGCTAAGCATCTCGACATTGTCAACACTTGCGCCTGCGCGCATCCCGACCCGACCCCGTACCTCTATTTTCTCGATTCGGAATGCGACCGCGAATCTTGGCGCCCGATTTGTCTTGATCAACATCGCCAAAAATGCCCACAGCCAAGCGGCAGAAGAAGAGCGGCGATGCTCAAGCTGCACCGTCTACCCGATCCAAAACAAAGGCTCCAGGCGATCGCCCGACCGTCGCCGATATCGAGGGCGAGAGCTCTTTTGCTCAATTAGCAAAGAAGCACTGGCTCAAGGCTACCAAGAAGCCAGCCAAGGTCAAGGTCAAGAACGATGTTTTGAAGCAAGACATCTGGGATGTTTTGGAGCATGATGGCTTCCCGTATAAGTCGATCTTGACATTGGAAAGCTTGCAGACACTGGAAAGGTATGCCAACATACATGCAAGCTGATGATAGCCTTGACTAACGAGAATGTGAAGTTGGCTATGGCCTGGATATACAGAAGAATCGTCCAATCACCACGTTTTGTTGGTGGTTCTCCTCGTCAATGCGAAGCGCCGCGAGCAGCTTGAGGCTTGGAGCATATTTGAAGATCGACCCGACGATTTCTCCAGTCTATTCCGCCGAGTTCTTTCGATGACACTCGACCAGACACTCTCACCTACGATTAGAACCCACCTTTTGTCTTTCTTGATCTCGGCGTTCCAGAGTCTCGACTGTGCTATCGTGAGAAAGGAGTGCGCGCCGTTGGTCTCTATCTCGATCTGGCACAACTTGTCAACGGAGGAGCTGCGGGAAGAAAAGCTCGAGCAGAATCCCCATGTGCGGAAAGCATGGCGGGCCGCTGGAAAGAGATACGATGCTGCTGACGATGCCACGAAGGCAAAGCTGCGATTCGATCGGTCATGGTTGTACACTTTGATTCTGCATTTCTTGAGTTTGATCTATACAGAAAACGCAAAGCCAGGTATGATTTCGGCGTCGGGGAATAGAGGAGAGTTTCTCTGTGCTAATTAAGCCCAGATCAGGTTCTCTACTGCGAACGCCTCGTCGAGTTCTTGACCGACTTGCAGAGCCAGCTCCCAACTCGGCGCTACGTTAATTCTCTACTGATCGATCTGCATGTTTTGTCTGCCATGAGGCTGTCTCCCATGTTCAATGACGAAGACAGAAGCCTGCTGCGAGATCTCCATATACTTCTCCGTCACTACACGTACTTCACGATTGATGACCAAACGGGCGCGCAGCTCAGCCGGACAGAATCTTACGACAAGCACTGCGCAAATCTGTCACGACTACAGAAGGTGGCGCTAAAGCACTTCAAAGACAAGCTTACGGTGCTTGCATTATCGAACTATGGTTCCATCGACAAAAGGGATGAGCTCTCGAGCCTGTTGGAACCCTTGATCGATGAAGAGATAGTGGAATTGTCACGGTTGCTCCGTCTTCGGACCACTTATCCTGACTCCTTCAAGATGAACATCGACAGGACATTCCTCATCGAGGTTATTCTGACCACGTTTGAGAGGCGGAAGACTTTCCAAGAAGTAGCACGTGGCATGAGCCTGGTCCCAACTGAACAGTCTCTCTTTGAGAACAACATCGTGAGGACCGATGATTACAATGGTTCTCACCCACTTGCTCTACCGAAACTCAACCTTCAGTATCTGTCTGTTGGTGACTTTCTGTGGAGGTCGTTGGTCTTGTACCGCGCCGAGTCCTTTTACGGCATTAGAAAAGACGTCGAGTCAGCCATCCGACGTCTTCGCCCCGAAAGCCGCAGACCCGGCGAGACGACTTTCCAAGGCTTCTCCAAGATGGCATTGCCGACAACAAAACCATCGTAAGTTATGGCGTTGTGTGTTGGAGACCATTTACTAACTCACCCAGCATCCTCGAAGTCGCTCCGGCGCTCGTAGGTGATGATAAGCCATCTTTGGTTCGGGCAGAGATCTCGATTGATGTCCGTCGTTTGAATGACGGTATCAGGCGCGAGTGGGATTCTCTACGAACTGACGACGTGGTCTTCCTTGTTGCTGTTCAGGCACCCGTTGCTAACAGCATCACCAACGGAGACGCTTCACATTCTGAGGCTGAAAAGCTTGGAATTATCTCCATCCGGTCGGCTGAAATCATCCAGATCACAGACGATAAGGGCAAGGTCGTGCGTCCTGGTTCTGCTTATCAAGATAACCGGCGGAGGCTGCAGTTGAAATTGGATTCCAGAACGTACGCTTTGGATGCTGAAAAATCATCAGCAAACCCTCCCGAGGCCTATGCGAAGGTCAATTTGATCATGCGCCGTAGCGGAAGGGAAAACAACTTCAAGCCAGTTTTGGAGTCTATCCGTAGCTTGACGCTTTCCGAAGTTCCAATTGCCTCGTGGATTCATGAAGTCTTCCTCGGGTACGGCGACCCAGCTGGAGCGACGTACAAGCAGTTGCCGAATCGAATTAAGACGATCGACTACCGCGATACTTTCTTGGACTGGCAGCATCTTACGGGGAGCTTGCCCGGAAAGATCGTTGAGCCAAGCGACGATGTCACCGGGAGCTTTGGCCCGCCTTACGTGCTGGAAACGGCCGAAAAACCGATCGTCGAGCCACCGTCAAAACCCTCCAAAAAACGCCGCCGTGGTGTTGAGCCGGCCCTGCTAGCAGATGTTGAGACTGTCAAGGTGTCGACCTACAAACCTCCGAACATGGGCCCTTATCCCGTCGACGCACCGAAGCTGAACACGGTGCGCTTTACTCCCTCGCAAGTAGAGGCAATCACTTCAGGAACGCAGCCCGGGCTTACGGTCATCGTGGGTCCGCCGGGTACGGGAAAGACAGACGTTGCCACACAAATCATCAATAACATCTACCACAACTTCCCGCAGCAGAAGACGTTACTCATCGCACACAGCAATCAAGCTCTGAATCAATTGTTTGCGAAGATTGTGGCCCTCGACATTGACGAGCGCCATCTTCTCCGCCTTGGGCATGGCGAAGAAGAGCTCTACACTGAGGGCAACTTCAGCAAACATGGAAGGGTAGAATCTTTCTTGGAGAACCGAGATCGATATCTGCAGGAGGTCAACCGTTTGGCCATCAGTCTCGGAGCCCCAGGCGCCCATGGCAATTCCGCTGAAACTGCTGGATACTTCAACTCTGTTTATGTCAAGCCAGCGTGGGCAAAGTTTACTGAAGTGACCAAGGACGGGGAACTAAGTGCTGCCAACATTGTCGCTGCCTTTCCCTTCCATCGCTTCTTCTCAGATGCGCCTCAACCACTCTTCCCAACAGACGCCGACCGGGACATCGTTCTCGAAATCGCCATTGGATGTTACCGTCACATTGAGAAGATCTTCTCCGAACTGGCTGACGCGATACCGTTCGAGATCCTGCGCCGTGAGAAAGACAAGGCAAACTACTTGCTCACTAACGAGGCTCGCGTGATTGCCATGACATCGACTCATGCAGCTATGAGGCGGGCAGAGATTGCGTCTCTTGGTTTCCACTACGACAATGTGGTCATAGAAGAAGCTGCGCAAATCACCGAAATTGAGAACTTCATCCCGCTGGCGATGCAGAAGCCCCAGAATGGACAAATGGCTCTGCAAAGAGTTGTCCTCTGCGGTGACCATTTCCAGAACTCTCCTGTCATCCAGAGCCTAGCTTTCCGCCACTACACAAACCTTGAGCAGTCTCTGTTTTCCCGACTCGTTCGTCTTGGGGTACCCACAATCACGTTGGATCAACAAGGAAGAGCTCGTCCATCTATTGCCAGCCTTTACTCGTGGCGGTACCCCAAACTGGGCAATCTGCCACATATTGAGAGTGAAGGCGAGTACACCACGGCGAATGCGGGCTTCAAATACGACTACCAGTTCATCAATGTCCCTGACTACAAAGGTCGTGGAGAGACAGAGCCTACACCCCATTTTGTTCAGAATCTGGGAGAAGCAGAGTATGCGGTGGCTGTCTACCAGTACATGCGTCTACTAGGCTATCCTGCCTCAAAGATCAGCATTCTCACGACATACGCTGGGCAGCGAGCCCTGGTAAAGGATGTCTTAGCCCACAGATGCGCTAACAAGGCGATCTTTGGCATGCCCAAGGTTGTGACAACCGTGGACAAATACCAGGGCGAGCAGAACGACTGTAAGTTGGAAACAAACCGGATGATGCCAGCTTGATACTAACTAGCCCACAGACGTCATTCTGTCGCTGACCCGTACATCGAAAGTTGGATATTTGCGAGACATTCGCCGCATGACAGTAGCACTTTCGCGCGCGCGTCTAGGCCTCTACATCCTTGGCCGTCGTGAGACCTTCGAGGCTTGTTATGAACTTAGACAGGCGTTCGAGCAGCTTCTGGCTCGCCCTGATAAACTCATGCTAGTTACCGGCGAATTATGGCCGGCGGACAGACAGCTTGCTGGTATCGCAAAGGACGCGGTACCTGGGGAGGCCTGTATGGAAGGAGTGGAGCATCTTGGGCAGT